CCTGCGACTCCATCAGGGGTGGCGGACATGGATAGACCGATGGGATTTCGGGGGAGAGTCAGCAATCAATTGACGCAAACTCGGAGAGCTGGCAGAGGTCCGGCAGGCAACAGAGGGGCGTGCGGAGGGGCCGTTGAAGGGGGCGTTTACGTTTCGTTTGACTGGCGATGGTGTTTGCTCTCGCGGACAAAAAGGCTCGATATCCATCCCGTCCTGACTCGTCTTTTCCCTTCTCCTCTTGTTCTTTTCTTCTCTTCAACGAACGAAAATCTTGCTTTTGTCTGTCTTTGCTCCGGCTCGTCTGTTTGACAGCTAACTTCCACTCCTTACAACGGAAAACAAGCTAGACTTTTTTCCATCCATCGGCTTGACGTCGACTTACACTCTCTGAAATCCCTTTTTATATAAACGCGGAATCGACTTTCGCCCTCTCTCCGAGCATTATCAAAAAAACAAAAACTACATCACACGAATCATCAAGATGAAGTCCGCTGCCGTTGCTGCTTTTGGCCTCTTCGCCGGCCTGGCCTCTGCCAGCTCTCCCATCCGCCACCTGCACTTCCCCAGGTCCAACACCACCACCGCTGCAGTTGACGATGCTGCTCCCACTACGCTGACCGTCATTGCTACCTCGGTTCACACCGTCATCAGCTGTGCTCCCACCGTCACCAACTGCCCGGCTCGCCTCAACTCTACCGGTGCTGGCAGCCTGCCCGAGTCGGCCAGGAGCACCGTGGTTGTCACCGATACCATTGTCCTGGCCACCACCGTCTGCCCCGTGGCCGAGGCTTCCAGCATCTCGTCCTCTCTGCAGGCCGCTCACTCCTCCGGCCTCATCACCGGCTCGACCATCAAGGCTACTCCTCCTGCTGCCGTCACTCCCCCGCCTAACGCTGGCGTTTCTGTCACTGATGTTGTCACCGACAAGACCCTGACTTACACCATTGGCAAGGGAACCGATGCGTCTGTCGTCACCACCACCATCCATGCTACTACCAAGAAGACCATCACCCTCACCAGCACTCTCAGCAACGGTGAGAACGGCCCTGAACCCACCACCACCACCACGGCCACCACTACTGACACGACCTACATTACAGTCCAGCCGGTTCAGACTGGCTCCGGCAGCTCTGGTTCCAACACTGGTGGCAATGCTCCTCCCGCCAACAACGCTCCTCCTGCTAACGGTAACGGTAACGGCGAGGGTTCTTGCGCTTCCACCGTCACCGTCACCGTCGCCAAGGAGACTGTCACTGTCCCCGCCTCGACCGTCTATGTCACCATTGCTCCCAGCTCTTGTGACTCTGGCTCTGCTCCCGCCGTCACTGACAAGTCCACCGACAACTCTGGCTCCGGCAGCTCTGGCTCCAACACCGGCTCCAACTCTGGATCCAACTCTGGCTCTGGCAGCTCTGGCTCCGGCTCTGAGGGCAGCGGCAACAACAACGGCTCTGGCGACTCTGCTGCCTCTGCTACCACCAGCACCCCTTGCCCCACTGACATTACCACCACCGTCCGTGCTACTGTCACTGTCCAGCCTTACCCCATCAACAACGGCACTGTTCCCACCGGCGGTGCTGCTCAGCCTACCGCTTCTGGCTTTGCCCGCCGTCTCCGCCGATAAAGGACTCGCCTCCTTGGCGGGAACTACCCTTGTAAGAATATTGTGAAACCCAAAGGTGGGAAGAAAGCAATTGGGGGGCATGGGATACTGGTTTTTGGAAATCTCGTGGCCAAGAGGAACGCACTTGATGAGAAAAAGAACAATCATAGTCCAAAAAAGAACCAAGAAAACGAATATAGGTTTCTTTCTCTACGCTGTTACATGATAGACGTCTATTTTGGATTCACGTTGTTTTTTCCTTCTCCTTTCATGAGTTGTTTTTTCTTTTTTGGTTGGCGAGGCTTGGTCGGAAGACAAACTTGCTGTGTTGTACTGTACTTGACACTCTTTTAACATTCATGTGTGTATATTTGATATTGCTCTTTGAGATGGCCGTCAGTGACGGTTCCTGGGCAACCACTTTTTCTGAACTGAACGACTCGTGACGTTAAAGACCCGTCTTCCTTATAAAATGATGTGACTATGTCTTTTAACTCAAAATGAGTGATGAGAATGTATTAACCAAACTTGCCTAAAGATATATCACAATATTTTGTCTTTTATATATACGCCGTTCATTCGTCAAAGCAAACCCATCGTAGCATAGCTGGTATATATATACACGCCAGTCTCCTTGATATCTAGAATACACTCCGCTTAACCAATTACCTTATACGCCCATAACAAATATAAAACACACAATTCTCCAGTACAGATGGAGGGAATTTCTCTCTCTTTCTACTAACCAAGCACCACACGTTCATATTGCTCTTGACTCAACTGCCGAAAAAGTACATCTTGCAGAGCAGCACGGCTACGTGCCAGCTGCGGTACGATTCCATCAGCTTGCTGGAGGTTACTCCTGATGCTTTCCATGTGGTCACTGAGTTGAAGAGCCAGAGACTTGAGCTCTGGATCCTGAAGATTCTAGAAAGGCATCACTGTTAGTTATTTCATACAACCTTTTTGTTCCTATCTGTCGGGGGAAAAAAGAAAAGAAAGAGGGAAGAGCGGGTGTGACAACTTACACTAAAAAGACCTCCGGAGAGAGAGGCGCCGGAGTGAGTAAAGGATATTTCCTGCTCTGCCTTTTGCTTTCGCTGTGAATGGATTGTCTCGGGTGTTGGTGCCAGGACATGCGCCTTCTTCAACAAGCCGCGATACTCCCTCCCCTGAGCCTTGGCACTGGACTCCAAGTTACGTAGCGTTTCATAGTCCCTCTCCAGCTCCCTCTCCAGCTTCTCCTTCTCCCTCGTCAGCAACTCGACAGCGTGAAGCGCCGGATCAAGCTGTCGCTCCAGGGCCATCTTCGCGTCGAGCACGCTTTCAAAGTCCAGCTCTGTGGCACGGCCGTCGGTCACGCCAGCGGCGCCCGGCGCGGCGCCCGCTTGTCTCCCACGAGGTACCCGGGCCGATGGCATGCTTGCTGGGGGGAAAGGGATGCCGCGTGCGATTTTGCGAGTGATGCGATGAGAAACGAGGCGTAGCGCTGCGGAGGTGTGGTTTTGGCGCTGTTCGGAGCCGGAGAGACGCTGGAGGACGGGACGGTGGGCCATGACGAGCATTGAGTTGGCGGCTGCGACGGTAGATTCAGGCAGGGGGCTCCATTTAGATTCGATGGTAGATTGGCGGACGCGATTGATGTGAGGCGAAACATGAGGGTATGGCTTTTCGGGTGAGGGAGCGACGTCGTCGTCCTCGTCCTCGACGTCAGCATCTGGGGGAGGTCGGCGCTGTTTCTTCTTCGATACAGGTGCGTCTCCCGCTGGTTCGGACTCAATAGAGGGAGCCCTTCTTGCGTTAGGAGCAGGTGAATCTTCTGCAGTTGCTCCAGTTGAGACTCTTGTCCTCCCAGTAGGACGGCCACGGCGTCGGCCTGATGTCGTATTTGACGGGCTGTCAGTGGCTGTCTTTCCTTTGGCGTTGTCGCTGGGTTTGCTCTGGATCTTGTTTGGAGCGCTGATATCTCGTAACGATGGTCGCCCTCGCTTTCGTGGCTTCGCCCCTTGCTTCCCCTTTATTGGGCCACGTTTTGGCGCCTCTTCCTCGTCTTCCCGTCGAGACTGCTGAGAGGGCCGGCCTCTCTTCCGCTGCGCGGGCAATTGCTTCTGGGTTGGGGTCTCGTTTAGCAGCTGATCCTCTTCCGAGTCTTGCGCGGCGCTATTGCTTTGCAGACTTGTCTGCGATTCGACGTCCTCGCTATGCCGTGCCCGCCCACGCCTTGGTGTGTCTTCATCTTCAAGCTCTCGATTCTTTAGTGAAGGACGTCCTCGCTTCCGCTTTTGCTGAGGCGGCGTCGCTTTATCCTCGTGAATTAGATTCCTTGGTTTGCCACCTAGCGACGGCCGCCCTCTCTTTTTCGTGGGCTTGGAGCTCTCTGGTGAAGGGCTGGGCTCATCGTCCGGGGAACTCAGACTTTTCCTCGGCCTCCCGCGCTTCTTGGCGCGCATCTGATCGGGCGCATCGGTATCGTATGCTTCAGTCGCATAGTTGTGCTCTTGCGACGCGTCGATATCGAGCTTGGACGCGTTGGATGGCCGCCCGCGTTTGCGCTTCGGGGCTGAAGACTCTGGCGCCTGTGAAGCAATTAGATTTCCATGCAATGAAACGGTCCCGATTGAAGATACAGTAGAAGAATGTGAGGTGGACAATGAAAGGGTTCATTTACCATTGTAATTGTAAAACAATGCTTGCGCAAGAGAAACTGTCGAATCGAGTTGATGCGAATCTATTCAGACGCCCAAAGAAGAAGAAAAAAAAAAAAGGCCATGCCTCAAACGAGCATGTGCATGATTGACGCTTTCCGTGAAGCTTCCAATCATCGCCTCAGGCCTGCAACAGCCTCTAATTCGCCCAGTGACGCATTTTCCAGCGGGGCCCGTGCGCTGTTCGCCTTCTAGATCGAAGCGGCTTCAGGCGGCTTGCAACCCCGCGTCCGGATTTGTTACAGCACGTGCATGCTCTGTAGCTTTTTGGCGCTTGCGTAGGTCCATCTTTGGGGCTTTTGTTATCCAGCACCCCAGAGACAGCGTGAGGTTCAAGTGTCGAAACGGGATGCAAATGGGAGACTGTTATTTACTTGCTTAGTATCTGAGGTAGTAAGTTAGCTGGGAGTATCTGCTACTGTCACTACCTCTTTATGCTACTATCGATATTTTGCTGTAGTATCTGCTGCTGTAGCTAGAATCCTTCCATGTTCCCGTTTGTTATGACTCGAATCGTAATCGATACTTACCTATCACCTTGGTATATCACCACCTATTTAGACTTCCATTCGACGATTCAATTGGTCACGTAATATCAAGAAACTATTGAGCTTCATCCGCTATTGCAGTAGTACCTCATCTCCTTTCTCTCAATCAAGGCTATCAAACTTCCTACAGCATCAAACCCCCGAGCACATGCAAAATGAGATGATCAAAATTGATCCTTTCCCGCGCCAATAATCCACCAGCGCTAAAGCAAAAAGACCTGAGCTGGAAGCGCTTGGCTCTCAACTTTGTTGAACTAAATACATACCCATAAATGCTCAACAAATCAAACCGAGCGGCCAGAGCACTTGATCCGCGGCGTTGCTCGACAGGGGCCACATTTCTCCAAACTTTACTCTAGATTGGCATTCCCGCCGTCTCGGAGCTTTTCTTTTGCTTCCATCTTCTTCCATTCATTCTTCTTCCTCGTGGACGGGTTGTACGCCGAGTAGTAGATAACAATTTCTGTGTTGGAGATCTATCTGTTTTCTTATACCTATTCTTCTTTTCTCTCTCCCTGGCTTAGGTTTTGCACCTCGGGATTTGTATACATACGCAGCCGGACTTAATTTCTTTCCCCACAACAGCAACAACAACAAACATCGCCGTTCACAATGCGCTTCTCCGCAGCTGCTCTCGTCGCGGCCCTGCCCGCTCTCTCTGCCGCGCAAGAGAATCCTCTGGACCAATACATTGCTCAGGCCCAGCAGATCTTGGGCCAGGCCGCCTCTTATATCCCATCTCCTAACAAGTATGATGCCGCTGCCGCCGAAGCATCCAAGACGGGCCCCATGAAGCTCTCTGTCTTGGCCCAGCACAACTGGGAGGACACTCTCTATGCGCCTGTGGCCGCCGGCGCAAAGACGCCCGAGGAGTGGTGGATCTTGATCACTGGTGGAAACAAGACGTGCTTTGGTGAGTTGTTTCATTTGCTCTGAGGCGCAGAATCTCCCCAATGGCTTAATGTGTTTGACTAATTCCTCTGTTTTAGGCCGCTGTGACCGGCTTGAAACCGCTTTCCAAGGTGCTGCTGCCAAATTTGCGGAGCTCCCAACCACTCCTCACATGGGCGTCCTCAACTGCGACGACCAGCCCATCCTTTGCAATTCCTGGTCCGCCAACGTTGGCAACATCTGGGCCTTCCACATGCTCCCCAAGCCCGCCCCCGTCGACATCTACAAGAAGAGGCTTAACCTTACCACCGTCACTACAGATGAGATTGTCCAGCTGCAAGAGGCTGGCAACAAGGAGGACTTTGTCCTGCTCGAGTCCTTCTGGCACCCCTTCAACGGCAAGGCCGCCGAGCTTGGCTTGTCCATCCCTCTTGGCTATCTTCTCTGGGTCTTCAACCTCGTTCCCCAGTGGGCGTTTATGCTTATTGTCTCCTTCGCCAGCCGAAGCATGATGTAAGTCTGAAACCAAGTCCATTCTCTGTTTCCATTCATTCGGTTGTGCATGTAGCTAACGGCTGTGATCAGGGGCAACCGTGCTCAGCAGCGGGCTCAACAACGTGCCCCGGCTGCTGCCGCCCCCGCCTCCAAATAATCAACCATCTAGGGAAAATCTGTATGAGTTTGCCTTTGGGGGGACTTTGGATAATGACCCAACCTGGAGCATTGGATGCAATGATGTACATGATTTAAGATGGGGACAACCCCCCCGGCGGTTTGTTTTCTTTGAATGATAAATACCAACCCGAGGGCCGTTGGTTTCGTAAGCTTTTTGGGTATCATGAGTTACGTAGCTGTTTATGAAAAAGGAAAAATTCGAATAATCCCAGTCATGACTTGTTCTCGCATGCTTCTTGGAGTGATTTCAAGCCGTCGACAATCTCATCTCGGAGTTTGCCGTTGGCCAGTTTGCCGTAGCGGAGATCGCTCAGCCCGCCAATCGTCTGCTGGATGGACTCTTGGAGAGCCGCCTCTTCTTCTTCAAGCCTCTTAATCTCTGCTTCAAGTGCGCCGACGGCACCTTCTAGCTCGGGAATCACAGAGTTGAGGCTGTGCGTTGCGCTCTTCAAACCAGAATCGTGACCAAATAGCTGCACCCTCATCAGCATAAGTTTTCTAAAAGAGAAGCACATTTCAACAACTTACCGCTCGCTCCATTTCAACTTCGCCATCTATATCTTCCCTCTCCGCCTCTCTCCTTAGCCGTAGAACCTCCCTTCTCATGACCACCCCGCGCTTCACCTCATCCTGGATGCTCGCAGCCACAGCGTCAACCACCGCATTGCGCTGCGCCTGCAAGTCGCGGTACAGAGACCGCAGCTGAGGCGAGTTGTGAAGCGGGCGGGGGAAGAGGAGCACGAATTGGTTAAAGGTGGTGATGGATGGAAGGGGTGCTGGCTGAAGGAGGTAGTTTGTGAGGATGTCGGATTCTGATGGTGGCGGCATTGTGGCTGCGGCTGAGATGGTGCCGGTGGAGAGGCTTTTTCTTTGACAAGTTGAATCAGATGGAGTGGAATGGGGTTTTGGGTTTGGTGGCGGCGGTAAGTATAAGTTCCATGGATATTTGTTGTACTTATGTGAAATGCTTGACGCGTTTATGAGAGTGAGTGTGAGGGTGTACTGTAATAAACATTGAGCATTAGCAGTGGTGGCAGAGTGGGTCGGTGAACGAAAACCCACACCAAGCTTCAGGCTCATCATACAGTATCAAACAAGATACATTGCTTGCCTCAATACTGCGACATCACGGCAAGTCCATATTATAACGGACTTGTTTTCTTTACACTTTCTGCGCTCTAATAACTAGGTAGTTATAGTCCAGAATTGTCATCATGGGCAATCTGTATCGCCCAGCCCGCCAGACAGTGACTCTACTGCCCCCGCTCTCATAGATCTTCGCATCATATATACTTCGCGCCTTTGTGGGCATTGGTGCTTCAAGCCCGGGAGCTTGCGTCATTGTAGGAAGTGGTCGTCGGTGTCAAAAATTCGAGCCGCTTGACCATTCAACCTTGCTTTAGCAGCTTACTTAATGTATCTTGCAATTGCCCTCTGTTCATGAGGGAGAAAGCTGCGATACAGCCGATTTTGCGTTGAGGCTACCCCGGTGGTTTGCTCCCATCCATTCAAATTCTCGCTCGACGCATCTTCGGAGTTTTTCGGTGATCTCTAGTGAAATAGAACATGGTCAAGTATATCACATATCGATGAAATGTTGGAGACTTTGACAGTCCTTTTCCGCTGGCACAATACTATCAAATAATACGTGCCGCGAAGAGGGAGATCTTGGCCATTTCATCACCGACAAGAATGTGACCCTCGGGCTATTGATCCGCAGCGTTCGGCACTTCGAGATAAAAAAAAACTTATCTTGTTGGGAGGTACTGTGCAAGGAATCGGTTCGCCCACGGTTACACCAAATGTCTAGCCAGTTGTACAGCATCAGCATTAGCACTTTCATCCTGCGAGGTCAAGGGTCAGCCATACCAGGATGCCCATGGCAGCAACCACCAGGTCAACAGAGCGATACGAGTACGTTCACAGCATGGCAACATTGTCATTGGTGATGCCTGCGTCGCCGAGATAGCAGACCAGATCATTGGAACCTGCGAAAAGATGCTGAGAGATGAAGTTGCGTTTGGGACACTCTGACGATGCCGTCTCAACCACACAAACTCGGTCGGGTTGCTTCATGGCGCTGTCAGGATTGCGATTGGATTGTTCCGAGGCATCCAGACCATCCAGACCATCCAGACCATCCAAGATAGGCCGTCGAATCTGGAAGCTGGACCATGTCGTCCGGGGCCCCGATACTACCAGGCGCTGCTGCCATACGGGGGTTTACTGCGGCTTATGTGCAGATAAGCACGGTGAATCCTACATACCTACATGTATCACGACAATCGCGGCGGATAAAAGTTAGTAGTAGCGTCATGCGCATGACTTCTTGTTGTACTGGAACTTTCCATGATGGCTTCTCCTCCCCGGACAAAAGAAGTTGCCAGCAGCAATGGGTTTTCTTCTACACTTGTCTCGTGTGAAAAGTTTGACTCAATGACTGTCCTGTGGCCGCATTGCGAGATCGGATCAATGGAGCTCGACTTTTTTTTTTTTTCGACCCAACTAGGAAGACCCTTAAATCGTCCGTCGTCGAATCTACCAATGCACCCAACTCCGTGGGGTGGATTTTAGCTCCAGAATGCTACAGTACAGCACGAGAAGGTACTTTCTCTGGCGTGTACCTGGCCCGGAGGTACTGTTACGGCTGCCTGCAACCCCGTACTAGATACATAAGTGAAAAGCTGCATTGTTTCATCCGCGATCGCCAACCTGTTGTGGGAGCACGGGAAAAGTTTGCACGCTCAAAGGTGCCAAAGGTGCAGATGGGAGAACACGGGGCGCCCTCCTATTCGGGCACTTGGTAGTCACTGAATTGATCTATTTTTTTCTTTGTTTTTGACAGAGGCAATGGGAATTTGATATTGGATCGCTGTAGAGACGTTATCTCATTGTACATGATGCCCGACTCTCGTAGTCTGACATACAGGTACTTGGCCCAGCGGTACTCATGTAGGTGAGTTTTCGGCGATAAAAGCCGCTTACTTGCAGCTCCCCCATACAAGGCAAAAATACCATTGAGAAGGGATCTGCCAATAGGATTCATACTGTACTCCTGTAGGAAGAATCACTGGAGGTGAATGAAGGTCCCTGTATCACTCTGCTGTGAAAACAATCAATGGAGGGGGTTGGTAGATAGACCAAGTATGTACATGTGCTCGGGGTACTCCGCAGAGCTCAACAATAAAAATGCAGAAAATTCTGCACTACAATTCGCTAGCAAGGCACCTCGACTGCAGCGTGATCTCTAATACGGGGGGCAATGGCAAAAAAGTGCAGTGTAATCATTTTGCCATCCACCTCCCAATGACACAAACGTACATGTACATGCCGCGTAGATGCCCAAATGCTCTTCTTTCCCCCACTCCTCTTCTGGTCTCGAATTCATTCATTTCAACGGATTGGTAGCGTGAAGGTGAGTACGAGTACGAGTTGCCAGAGGAATGCAATGCCGTCTGGTCCAATTTTGCATGTGCTCAACGATAATCACTCGCTGCTAAACCCACCTGCAACCCACAGGGCCACTAAGCAGGTACTTGCCCCAGTAGCAAGCGCTCCATATCAACCACAGGTCCCGCGCTAAGAAGATGGATTGATCCTAGATACCGCCAGCGGCAAGGATGGGCAGAGCCTGTCATTACGCACGGCTATGAATAAGATTCGGCCTCACAGCTTGAGAGCTCCGATGGCGCAAATCGCGCAATTCGGCTGACGCCCAGCCCCGGCTAGTCCCCAGCAGAGAGCCGTGTGGCCAGACAGCAATCAGAAATTGGTTGAACGGTGATTGCTCCACCGCAGAGAAGAAAAGACCCGATCAAGCAGACCCGACCGCCTTCGTCTTACCCCTCCCCCGCTCGGCGCTTTTCCTCGATACACTTAATAGGTGCTGCTCTCGCACTTCTCTCCATCCTCTTCCTCTCCATTCTCTTCACAGCGTGTCCTTTTCCTCCTTCACACTCATCTTCTTCCGCTGCTGATACAGGCAGGACTATTTAGTTGATAACCAGTGAGTCTTGCGTCTGCTCTTCCGCTGTCCATCTCTGCATGGGCTTCAATTCCGCCGAACATCTCAATTGACTTGGTTTCTCTCTTCTGCAGCGACTTTTTTATCACAGCTTGTCCAGTCCGTATCCAAACCAATTGCCAAAATGGTTCAGTCCGCAGTTCTCGGTTTCCCCCGTATGGGTGTTAACCGTGACCTAAAGAAGGCCACCGAAGCTTGTTAGTCTTCCCTTGCTCGACCTCATCACCCCCACGCCCAGAGAAAAATTTTTCTAACATTGACATGTGCAGACTGGGGTGGAAAGATCTCTCAGACTGAGCTTCTTGCTGAGGCCAAGAGACTTCGTCTGGCTCACTGGAAGATCCAGAAGGATGCCGGCGTTGACATCATCCCCAGCAACGACTTTGCCCTGTACGACCAGGTTCTCTCTCACATCCAGGACTTTGGTGTATGTTACAAACTTGCCTCGTTTTCCCCCAACAATAAACCCCGGACCAATGCTGACTGTGAATTGACAGGCTGTTCCTGAGCGTTACACCAAGGATGGCCTTGACACTGTTGACCAGTACTTCGCCATGGGCCGTGGCCACCAGAAGGGAGGCGTCGACGTCCCCTCTCTGGAGATGGTCAAGTGGTTCGACTCCAACTACCACTACGTCAAGCCTACTCTCCAGGATGGCCAGACCTTCAAGCTGACCGCCACCCCCAAGGCCGTTGCTGAGTTCAACGAGGCCAAGGAGGCTGGTGTCACTACCCGCCCCGTCCTCGTCGGCCCTGTTTCCTTCCTGCACCTCGGAAAGGCCGACCGTGGCCAGTCTGTCGACCCCATCGACCTGCTCGACAGCCTTCTGCCTGTCTACGAGCAGCTCCTCACCCAGCTCAAGGAGGCTGGTGCTGAGACTGTCCAGATCGACGAGCCCGTCCTCGTCTTCGATCTCCCTGCCAAGACCAAGGCTGCTTTCAAGCCCGCCTATGAGAAGTTCGCCAGCCTCGGCGACAAGATCCCCAAGCTGGTCTTCACCACCTACTTCGGTGACATCGTCCACAACCTGGACCTCCTCCCCAAGGACATCTATGCCATCCACATTGACCTTGTCCGCAACCCCGAGCAGCTCGACACCGTTCTCGGTGCTCTCGGCCCCAAGACCATCCTGTCCGCTGGTGTTGTCGACGGACGAAACATCTGGAAGACCAACCTGAAGCGCGCCATCGAGACCGTTGAGAGCGCTATCCAGAAGCTCGGCAAGGACCGTGTCATTGTCGCCACCTCCTCCTCTCTCCTCCACACTCCCCACACCCTGGCCAGCGAGAAGAAGCTGGACGCTGAGATTGCCGACTGGTTCTCTTTCGCCTCCGAGAAGGTCGTTGAGGTTGCCATCATCGCCAAGGCCGTCACTGAGGGCCCTGCCGCCGTCCGTGAGCAGCTCGAGGCCAACGCCAAGTCCATCCAGGCTCGTGCCACCTCTCCCCGCACCAACGACCCCAAGGTCAAGGAGCGCCAGTCCAAGATTGTCCCTGCCGACTACAACCGAAAGTCTGAGTTCCCTGTCCGTATCGACGCTCAGCAGAAGAAGCTCAACCTCCCCCTGTTCCCCACCACCACCATTGGTTCCTTCCCCCAGACCAAGGAGATTCGTCTGTCACGAAACAAGTTGACCAAGGGCGAGATCACCGCCCAGGAGTACGACTCCTTCATTGAGCAGGAGATCCGGGACAACGTCAAGATCCAGGAGGAGCTTGGCATTGACGTCTTCGTTCACGGTGAGCCTGAGCGTAACGACATGGTCCAGTACTTCGGTGAGCGCCTGGACGGCTATGCCTTCACCACCCACGCTTGGGTTCAGAGCTACGGCTCTCGATGCGTCCGACCCCCCATCATTGTCGGTGACATCTCCCGTCCCGCCCCCATGACTGTCAAGGAGTCCAAGTACGCCGTCTCCGTTTCCAGCAAGCCCATGAAGGGTATGCTGACTGGACCCGTCACTTGCTTGCGATGGTCTTTCCCTCGTGACGACATCCACCAGTCCGTCCAGGCCGAGCAGCTTGCTCTGGCTCTCCGTGACGAGGTCGTCGACCTCGAGAAGGCCGGCGTTGACGTCATCCAGGTCGATGAGCCTGCTCTCCGTGAGGGTCTCCCTCTCCGCTCCGGCACTGAGCGTGATGCCTACCTCAAGTGGGCTGTCAACGCTTTCCGCCTGTCCACCACTGGCGTTGAGGACTCCACTCAGATCCACTCTCACTTCTGCTACTCTGAGTTCCAGGACTTCTTCCACGCCATCGCTGCCCTCGATGCCGATGTTCTGTCCATCGAGAACAGCAAGTCTGATGCCAAGCTGCTGAGCGTCTTCGTCGACTCTGCCTACCCCCGCCACATCGGACCTGGTGTCTACGACATCCACTCTCCCCGTGTTCCCAGCGAGCAGGAGATCAAGGACCGCATCGAGGAGATGCTTCAGTACCTCAAGCCTGAGCAGCTCTGGATCAACCCTGACTGCGGTCTCAAGACCCGCCAGTGGAAGGAGACCAAGGAGGCTCTCGCTAACATGATTGCCGCCACCAAGTACTTCCGTGCCAAGTACGCCAAATAAACAAATCACTTTTTGTTTTTTATAATTTCCTGCGATTGCAACGTAGGATGGCCTGGCTTTAAAGGGAGCAACATTCAACTACGTTGCGCCTGTAGCTGGGCACGATTTCAACATCGGCGTTTGGGCATGGTTTAGGTGACAAAGACTTGGGTTATTACGGCACCCACCAAAAAAAGGTTCTTTTCATCATTTTGGGAATTCGGAAAGGTCGGTTGGGCGAGCATTCAACATATGCATATGTGCGTTGATTCTCCTGGTTAGGAGAAAAAGCATTGGTAGTTTCATTAGGATGGTTATCCAAAAGTCTTCAACAAGGCGTTCATGAGGTGAGATGAAATCAAAGGTAAATGAGTTTTATGAGGTCGGCAGTTAGCAAATAGATACCCCGATTCAACCTGGGAAAATAAGGAGAAGAAATTTAAACCTGGTGAATATTTACTGCAACTACTGGCTCCTTATACATGTGACTGTCTTGGATTTTGTTTTAAGACGGAGGAACAAGTGAGACGTAAAAGGGGGAACCAATAAAAGTAGCAGAACGGTATTGATCCAATAAGGTGATGCTGGCGTAGGGAGACTTCGCGTCGCGTGATTGAATTTTTATAGAACTCAATGGGTATCTGTAAACACCTGCTTGCTTTTTGCGCGCTTCTTGTGCTTCGTATTACGTGCAGGCCAACTGCTCCAAATTGGGGCTAATTGTAGTTGCAGGTACCTGTACTCCATTTTGGGGCTGATTTTTTTCTCGTAGCCACAGCGCTTTAAGGCTGCTGGGGTGCCGCAAGGACCGCCTAACAGGACATTTTTAGTGGCTACCGGCACAGCAGCCAGGGGCTCAATCGCCAAGGTACTCCTCCGTACTTTATTCACTTCCATCTCACTCACGTGTCTCCCTGTACGTACAATCCTTTTCTTCATCGCCATTCCCAACTCTATCATCACCAATTGCAGATATCTCGCTAGAAGATACCGCAGAAAGCCTTTTCCATCTCATTCCATCCGTCAGCCGCTATACTTTGACTCACAAAACTAAAAAGGGGGCCCATTCACGTTTTCATCATATTTTCATCATGGCTCCTGCGCGACAACAGCCGCCTCCGCCGTTTGGCAAGGACGAAAAAGTCCTCTGCTTCCACATGGACATGCTGTATGAGGCCAAGATCATGGACGTGCAGCCTGCGGAGAAGCCCAATGAAGGATATCGGTACAAGGTTCACTACAAAGGCTGGAAGAACACGTGGGATGACTGGGTTCTGGTGGACCGGATCCGGCCCTTTGACGACGAGCACAAGGAGCTGGCAGCCCAGCTTCACGCGCAGCTCAAGAACAGCATGCAGAAGACGTCCAAGGTGCCCAAGAAGATCGTCAAGAGCGGCGGCGAGTCGGCGCGTGGCAGCGAGGAGCGAGGGTCTGCCGTCACTCAGGGAGGCAGAGGGGGCAGGAGAGGCAAGGACTGGGAACTGGAGCAGGTAAGACTTGATTTGCCATCAGCAACCGATTTTCCCTTTTTCTCTTCATCTTTTTTGCTGTTCTATCTCGAATCTTTCAAAATTTCGCGGCGTTTTCTCTCTCGTCTCTCTTTGGCTCATGGTGTTTATGTACTCCACGAGCCGCGTCTCCTGAAGTATCTTCAACAACTCCCCGCCGGCAAGTGCCGGGCCGCGCAAGCTGCACGGAGGGAGTTTGATGAGAGGGAAAACCAGACTCTACAGGCCATGTTTAGCTTTCCTACGAGCAGTCTTTTCTCTCTGGTGGCTTCATACGCTCGAAAACTTATGAGCATAACAATGTTTATTTTGTTATACTTTGCTTCTCCGGCCGTTTTGCAGTATTGTATGACTCAAGTGAGAAACTCTTGATTGTTTGTGGCGTTTTCGTCGACCTATATCATTTTGCTCTCCCCCATGTTGTTGTTCCCTCGGCTCTTTCCCACAGCACCCCCTTCAATTACAACTGCAGATCTCATTGAGAGAAACAACACGCCTTCCACCATCAATAGGTTTACAAATCTCATTGAGTGAAGCAACATGCCCTTCACCAGCAATAAGTCAGACAAGATGCCAATGGAGAAAAACGAAACCCCCTTGCCGCGTTCCCGTTACGGGCGCATCCTCAGGCCAACCCTGAAAAGAAAATTGGCTTCATCATCGGCTGCCGAGAAGCCGTCCGAGCCAATCCCAAAGTGCAACCGGATCACCTTGACACGAAACGGCAACCGGATCACCTTGACACGGAACAGGAACTGGATCAGCTGGACATGGAACGGCAAGCCAATTTGTCCTACGAAGTCTGAACTTGAATCTTTTTTTAAACGTGTTTCCAAGCCTGTGCCTGAGCTGGAACCTGTTATTGAGCAATCTGGGCCAACACGAAAAGGAATCTAGATAATTCTCACGCGTAATGGCAAGCCTATCTGCCCTAGGAAGATGGTTCCGGAATCAATTCCCCAGGCCGAACCAGCGTCTGTGCCTATCAAGATTGAGGAAAACACCGGATATCCATATTTGATCCAAGTTGCCCAAACTGGAAATTAACATGTTTTCCTGATTATCACAAATTTGTCGGTTGCCAGAGCCAAGCGGCTTCTATGGTTTACCTCAACTTACTCTCTCTCTCTCTTTTTCTATCTCGGGATCTTTGCGTTTGGCTTACTTCGGTCACTTTCTATCTACCTCTGCTTTCACATTATAAGTTCCGAGATTTTGTTTCAAGAGATCTTTTTTCTTTCTCTGAGCACAGTCTAACAACCCTCAGGAGGACGCTTTCCACAGCAAACCAATGATCAACATTTCCGTGCCCGATCATATCCAGGCCATGCTTGTGGACGATTGGGAGAATATCACCAAAAACAACCAGCTTGTACCATTGCCTCATCCAAACCCAGTTACCAAGATTTTTGAGGACTATCTTGCTGTTGAGCGGCCACGCAGAGAAGAGGGCTCATCTAGTATGGACATCTTGGAGGAAGTTATCGCCGGATTTCGGGAATATTTCGAAAAGGCTCTCAGCAGAATACTTCTCTACAGGTAAGTGGATCGACTCCTGGTTTTGGTGGGATATCTACTAACATTGATCCAAGATTTGAGCGTCATCAGTACATGGATGTGCGGAAACTGTGGGATAATGCCGACGAGAATTCGCAGTACAAGAATGTCTGCGATGTTTATGGCGCAGAGCATCTTGCGCGTCTTATTGGTACGTATACGCCGAGACTGACACACTCTTCTTATCGCGGACTGGCTAACTTCTACCTTTTAGTTTCATTGCCCGAGCTCCTTGCGCAGACGAATATGGATCAACAGTCCGTATCACGCCTTAGAGAGGAAATCGGCAAGTTCACCACTTGGCTGGGCCGCAATTGTCAATCATATTTTGTCAACGAGTACGAGACTCCATCTCAAGAGTACATTGACAAGGCTCGAAGCTTCTAGATGTCTTTATCTTGTTGGCTGCCACAAAAGGAGAACACAACTGCCCACTTTCGTCTGTCGCCAGAGTTTTGTTTATCTTCTCTCGGCTATGTTTACCCGCTCCCCTCTTGTTTATTGTTTGTTTTTAATATCTAGTTGGAATCACGACAACACACTCACGCTGTAACCGGCAAAGTCGGCGACAGCAACTTGTTGGGTCGATGATGGTTTTTACTTGCGCCTTGATACCGCATTTTCCGTGGGATTCTCGTCTTATTGAAGGATTCGTTTGGTCACGGCACTGGATAGGATTAGCAAGGTGTTAATGCGATGAAACTGGTGCTTTCTTTTGGTTTTTCGATGACGCAGTTTTTAGTTAGAGTTGGGGGGGAGACGGGGAGTTAGTTTAGTTTCAAGATAATGGGAAAATGCTTTGTTTTGTATATGGCTCTTTTAACCACCTTGGTGATTCCACATGACTTGTTTGTGCCCGCCCCATTTCGAAGCCGGGCATATCCGTCTTTTTTGTTTCTTTCGTACATTGTTGCCGTTGATATCGTACAAGCTCGTCTTGTCCATCCCGCTATAATTCCTCCTCAACCATACACTCTCTTATATACAAACATCCACTCCCACAAACCATCAACCCCTCGCTTTGCATATATTTCCCCCTTTTTGCGCTCATAATCATCAACATCTTATCCCCTAAACCACAAATCAAATCTCTTCACATCCGCTGCACCGCCCTCTCAACGTAAAACCCTTTATCCGGCGTCCTCTCCGCCTTGACCTCCCGCTTGGTCAGCCTCCGCTCCACCTCCTGCACGCGCACCAGCTCCTTGACCTTCATGATCATACCCGCGAACTGCGGCTCCGCGGGGTGGAAGACGGTCTGCATGCGCCGCCGCAGGCCGAGCGCCTGGAGCACGCCCCGGGTGCGCTCGGGAAGACCAATGGCCGAGCGGTGGAGGGTGATGCGGAAAAAGGTCATTTTTTTTCTTATTTCTGGTTTTAATGGAATTGCTCTGTGTCGTTGATTCGAAAACGTCTCGGCTGACACATTCGTTAGTTGAGTTACATCCAGTGAAGTTGAAGAGAGATTGGGGGGGAGAAAGAAAAAAAGATGCAAGTCCATTCGTACCAAGGCAAAAAAAGCGATTCGACCCCGCTGGCTATGGAGAACCAGAACAAAAATTGGATTCCGCACACTACAAGTGCTCCCCGTTCTTATCGTCTCGTTCCCTCGGGGGAGAGGATTGGGGATTGTGAAGAAAGGCTGGGTTTGGGGAATTGAAGCTGTTTCGATTGCATTGAGCCTGGAGCTAAAGTGCCTGCGGTTGCGCGATAAGATATCATGCAACTGCATTTCGAGGCAGCCTTGCGGGTCACGTGATGAGGTGCAAGAGGACAATGAGAATGAACTGCGTAAAGTTCTATCTACCACTTACAAGAGATTTACTGACAAACAATTAATTTGTTAGACACAAAATAGCTGATTTCCAATTCAGCAAAAGGGTCACAGGAAATGAAATGCATGTGAATTAATTTTTTGGTCTCTATTGTCATCAATAAAAAATGATTTAATACTTCATAACGTTCCCACCGCAGCGACTACGGGCTATGTGTGCTGCTAACTTTAGGTCTTGACAAACCACTTTCCCTTCCCAAAATTCCTTCATCAAATTCCCACAACTGTTGTATAATATATTCTGATTGCTCCTTTTGTTTCCTCTCGGCTTCTGCTTACATCTGGACCTCCACTCTGCCCTGGCCACTGGGCTGGCCCTCGTTGAGGTTGGGCAGCAGGTAGGTGATGTCATCCCAAGGGTGACGGTACAGACCGGTGCGCAGTCTCTTCTGGTCGAGGAAGTGGGCAATGAGACCAATGCTTCGGCCCAGGACGAACAGACCGTTGAGAACACCCATGGAAAGGTAGTCCTCGGCCTCTTCGGCGGAGAAGGCGCCGCAGTTACGCATCAGGTCGACGAAGCACACGGCAATGCAGCCGTCAACGTTGAGGATCAGGCTGTCCTTCTTGGAGGTTGTGACGGTCTCGACGGCCAGAGCGTAGTCGAGCAGCTTGTGGCTGGGGAACTTGGCCTTGACGTACTCCTTGACAAGCTCAACACGCAAGTCGGGGTTGTTTCGCGACTTGATACGGTGACCAATACCGGGGATGAGCTTGTTCTGCTTGCGCATGCTGTCGACGAAGTCACGGGGGCTGAGGTTCTTGTCGAAAGCCTTGGTGAACTCCTCAGCGGCGCCGTCAAGGGCACCACCGAAGCGGGAACCAATGGTCAGCAGACCAGAGACAAGGGCGCTGATCAAGTCCTTGCCGGCACGGGTGGTGATGATGGTGTTCATGGCACCAGAGACAGCGGGACCGTGGTCGGCAGTAAGCATGAGAACCATCTCCAAAAACTTGGAGGCGTAGTCGGGCAGCCTGCGGCGGAACCACAGCAGAGACATGACACCACCGACGCCAATCTCCTCCTTGAAAACATCGGAGATGGGCATGCCGGCGTAAAGCAGCTCCTGGCCACGGTCGTCAGAAATGGTGGAAATGAAGGCAGCGGGCTTTCGGATAAGGCCGAGCTCCTGGGCCCAAGAGTAGTCGATGGGGATCTTGGGGACAACGGGCTCGGCGCGGGGGACAATGGTGCCCTCCTTGACGAGCTTGTCGTAGACCTCCTTGAGAACGGCGGGCATGTCCTCGAAAGTCTTGGGGACGTGGAAGCCGGCGTCGCGCATAGACTGGTTCTTGACAGTGGCAGTCTCGAGCTGTGAGTTGGCAAAAGAACCAGCGTGGCCGAACTGAACCTCGGTCTTGAACATGCTGGCGCAGGTACCAATGGCCCAGGCGACAATGGGCTTGGTAATGATGCCCTGCTTGACGGCATCAATCACCTTGTACTCCTCGACACCACCGACCTCACCAAGCAGGACCAAGATCTTGCAGTCTGGGTCGGCCTGGTATCGCAGCAAGTGGTCGATGAAAGTGGTGCCAGGATATCTGTCACCACCAATGGCGACACCCTCGTAGACGCCGTCGGTGTTCTGGGAGATGATGTTGTTGAGCTCGTTGGACATACCACCGGACTTGGAGACGTAGCCAACGGAACCCTTGCGGTACAGCTTGGAGGCAACAATGTTGTCCATCATACCACCAGTGTTACCAATCTTGAAGCTGCCGGGCTTGATGCCACCGACAGTGGCGGGGCCAATGATGGTGACGCCCTTCTTCTTGGCAACGTGAGCAATCTCACGAGCTCGCTAAAATGACAGGTGGTCAGCAAATTGGGTTCCAATTGGGGTTATTTCTGCTGCTCTCAAGAAAATCTGTGAGGGGCAGAAGAAACCAAAGAATGGCGAAACAAAAACAAACTTACTCGCTCGGGAACACCCTCTGCAATGATGGCAATGGTCTTGATCTGAGGGCACTCCATCAATTCCATGGTGGAGCTGTAGACACTTCGAGAAGAGGCAAAGTTGACGACGACATCGACGTCGGGGTGCTTGGCAATGGCCTTGTCAACCTGCTGGTAGACGGGCAGCAGGGTCTCGCTGGTGCCCCAGTACATCTTGCTGACGAACTGGCCACCAAAGGTGTAGATGATGCCGGCGACAGAGGGAGTCTTTCGCTTGCAGATGAAGTCAAAATCCAGCATGCCCTGGACGGCGCGGGGCTGCAGGCCGTAGACGAAGCATCGCGTCTTCTCGGAGAAGAGAGCGTGCGCGGGGAGAGGGCTGAGGGGTCGGCTGGGAGCAGCAAAGCGCTGGATTCTGTCGTTGGCCGACAAGAGATCCTTGGAACCGGACATGGTGATGTGTATGCGAGCTCGTCAAAAAAAAAAGAGGTGAGGAGGGAAAAAGAGCAGAAATGGCGGGGTGAGCTGAGTCCTGCAGAAAAAACACCGGTCAACAGCTGTTGAATTAATAGAGGCTATACAGTGTTGGCCCACCAAGGCAAAGACCACAACACAAGTCGGAGATGAGGCAGATGGATTGCAGGAAGAAAGGAAGAGAGAGAGAGCCGGGCAATTGAAGGATTGAGACGGCAAAGAACAACTTCAATGGGGGAGAGCCAGATTTCAGGAGTGCAGTGACACCTGGGACCGCGAGAGGGCTGCTCTGCTTTAGCTGCTGGCGGGGCTAGAGCTCAGAGGGATGGGCTGCCAGGTATTGCGCCGTATCCGTACATGTACCAGGCACATGGACCCTGTCCACCATTTCCTCTAGCACCAACGCCCACCACTGCGCATCGTACCAGCACGTACGAGTACCCGGTACGAACGCTAGCCCGGTGGGTACCTGGGCGCCGAGTTGGTGGGGGAGGGCGGACTCGGCCAGCGAAGCTTGCACCGCCTAACGGAACCCAAAAGCGTCGATCGGGGCCAGCATGTGCGCGTGCATGCAGCCCTGTGCGAAAGTGTGGGCAGGGGAAGGGAATCACTCATTGCTGCTTGCTTACCTGTGCCGTAGCTCAATGATGACACCCAGTTGCGACAGTGCTGACGCAGGATGGGGAGATGCGATCAGATGCAAGAAATGGCGGCTCCTTTGTACGCCAGCAGCCTAACTCTAGTGCTCTGCTCAGTTCGTTCTGCCAGCGGGTAAGAGTGCTTCCGGCGTTTGGCTTTCCAAGCGTAAGGGGGAATCACCAAAGTCAATCCGCACGGCAACCAAGCCACCAAAACGAGTTGGGGAAAATCTTTTTTGGTTTTTTGGGGCGCAATGTCTAATTTTGCGAATTGTTGAATAGCAGCCTCTTGAGACACAATGATAACTCGTAGCATCCCGGTCGCGGTCTGGCCTTGCCGCTAACACCGGCTTGGACCCGGTGGTACCGGTACCTCATTCCAGTGTGCCCATCCAATGCCAATGCCAATGCGGTGTCGGAAGTTCCATCAAAAACTTCAAAACCGTTGGCGGCCGAGGAATCGAATGAAAGCCCCTTGCTTGCATCGACTGGTCCCAAGATTACGCCCCTTGGCTGCTTCGCATTCGCGTGTCATGCGTCAAGTCATCGTCATCCCAGCGTTGCAGCACGATACTGTAAATGGATCGTAATCGTGCCCGTGATGGGATCACAATCAATTCCTCGCAATCCAGGATTCCGCGCCCTGGCCCCCAATCGCAATCGCATTCCGTGTACGAGCGAGCGAGCGCCGTATCCAATCGAACCCAGTCCGAGGGATGCGCGTGTGCCGCTAGCTAGCATTGCATCGTCCGGCAGTCAACATGGAAGAGATATCGCTCTCGTGCTAGGTGTGGCCGTTTGCATTTTGGGCTCTCCCGTCCTCTCTGCAAATGGAGGGGCAATGCAATGGATGGCTCATGATGGTGGGGTTGCCGAGTCGCTGGTGGCTTACTGGCCTCGTCTGGGCCCCTGTCCGCCCAACCACGGCCCACCCCCCTCTGAACGGGTACGAATACGTGTGCTGTGCTTGTGCCTGAGCCACTCGTACGCTGTTTCGTCGCTGCACTTTTAGCGCAGGAGACCCTCAGCCTTGTCCCACTAAAGCGTGCAGCCGCTCAATAGCAGGCCAAAACGGCTCAACACTGGGCAGTCCTGGGCTTCAGTGCAGCAAAAGCGTCTCTTTGTTGGGCTCGTCCGCATCCCACGTTGGAGTTCGGAGTATCAAAGGCTTCGGAGTATCAAAGGCGGGGCAAAAATGCGAGACAAAGAGGGCGCTCCAGGGTAGCGAAAAGGGCAGCCAGAAACAATCGAGGTCAGCAATTGTCCTAGACTCGGCGTGAGACAAGCCCAGATAAGCCGTATTATCGTAGGTTCCAGAACAGCGCGCAATTCCTTCGGCGCCGCGCTCCGTCCGTCAGGGCCAGGAATTGCGATGCCGAGATCCTTGCAATGGCCGCTGCGATGTTCGGGGCGCATCCGCCGTGTTCGACAGATTCCCCGCTGCTAGAGCCAGGCAACACTCCCTTGCCCATTGCGAAGAGGTAAAAAAAAAATGATTGAGAGATTGACGATCCACTTGGGTTTGCTCAACAACTGGGGGGGAGGCTGCTCGAGGTACCGGTACTCGAACGATGGCGAGCTATTGGGAGATATCGCTGCCCCAATGCTTTTTTTGGCGTCCTGGTTGAATGGGCACCCGCCAAAGGCCGACTTTGGCACTGGGCTCTAGCACCGTCTGCACGCCCTTAGTGGCAAGTCCCCTGACCGCCCTCCCAAAGCGCACCCCCGAAATCTGTATGCTCACGGCAGCTCCATGACCCCTCAACCCCCCTCCTTCGAGCTGGCCAGCGTGGAGCTTCGGCCGGATTTCTGAAAGGCTGAAAGTCATCCTCTTCCTGCCATCCACCTCTTCGTCTTTAGGCTCGCTTTCCCTTTCCCTCTCCTTCGTCAGATATCCAGCATTTTGCCTCTTGACATTGCAATTGCAATTCCCAGTCGCTCCAGTTTCTTCTCAGCGGTAGGTGCAAATAGACGCCCCTCTTCAGAATAGCTTCTGGTCCCGCGCTCGTCGCATTGTGTCGTTGTCGCTGTTACTCTTCAATCCTGCAACGGCATTTTGAGCGGTTCGGTGCCCAAGCTTGCCTCTCGCGTTTGCGTTTGCGTTTGCGTGTGCTCTGGCGCAGCAATTGCCATCGTTTCTGCTTCATCGTCTCTCCCAACACCTCGCTGACGGTATAAAAAGGCCAGACGTTCCTTGACTCACGCCTTTTCCTCATCTCTCATCCTCGTCGTAGGCACAGCTCATCCACAATGTCCGCCAAAGCGATTTTCGAAGCCGATGGCAAGGCCATTCTCAACTACCACCTGACCCGTGCTCCCGTCATCAAGCCGAGTCCTCTCCCTGCGCCCACCACTCACAACCCTCCCTCCAGACTGGCCTCGCTGCATTTCCCCGAGGATGCTGCTGTTGAGGACGTTCTGAACCAGGCCGAGGTCACCTACCCTTGGCTGCTCCAGGATGGTGCCAAGTTTGTTGCAAAGCCCGATCAGCTCATCAAGCGACGAGGCAAGAGTGGCCTGCTGGCTCTCAACAAGACCTGGGCGGAGGCCAAGGCTTGGATTGCTGAGCGAGCTGGTAAGGAGCAAAAGGTTGAGCACACAGTCGGCGTTCTGCGTCAGTTCCTGGTCGAGCCCTTTGTTCCCCACCCCCAAGACACAGAGTACTACATCAACATCAACTCAGTCCGTGATGTGAGTAAATTTCCTCTCTCTTCTCATCTTGTCTGCGTGTTTTTTTTTTGGTTCTTCCCGAAACTTGGGCAAATGCTTCACCTGGCAAAACACCACATCGTGGTGGCTGGGAGTCAAGTGACTTTGTGTTTGTCACGGACAGAAAAAAGGTTGCGTGGATGAAAGTTCAACTGGAAAGTTGAAGGAAGTTGGGTGAGATATAAATTGCCTGAAGGAAAGGAGCGTTTTCTTTATAAAGCCGTGGCGCTTTCCGCCGGTGTGAAATTTGCGGTGCCGTAACGTGCCGAAACAAGAGGCCGGGCGGACGAACGGATGTCACAATAGGGAGGGTCCTGGGCTTGACTTAGCCCGGACCCCTGTCCGCACGATTACACACCATATCTAGGCTTCGTCTTATCTTAACTTGTTGTCTACTACTACGAGAGCCTCGCTAACTTTATATCTTTTTTTTTTTTTTCATTTTCTAGGGTGACTGGATTCTCTTCACTCACGAGGGTGGTGTCGATGTCGGTGATGTCGACGCCAAGGCTGAGAAGCTCCTAATCCCCGTCGATCTCTCAGAGTACCCTTCCAACGAGGAGATTGCCGCTACCCTCCTCAAGAAGGTTCCCGCTGGTCTTCACAATGTCCTGGTTGACTTCATCACTCGGCTGTATGCCGTCTATGTGGACTGCCAGTTCACCTACCTTGAGATCAACCCCTTGGTCGTGATCCCCAACGAGGACAAGACCTCTGCTGCTGTTCACTTCCTGGATCTTGCTGCCAAGCTCGACCAGACTGCCGACTTCGAGTGCGGTGTCAAGTGGGCTATTGCTCGATCCCCCGCCGCCCTTGGCCTCACCAACGTGGCCGGCGGCGACAAGGTCAGCATCGATGCTGGCCCCCCGATCGAGTTCCCCGCTCCCTTTGGCCGTGAGCTCTCCAAGGAGGAGGCTTTCATCGCCGAGCTGGATGCCAAGACTGGTGCTTCCCTGAAGCTCACCGTCCTGAACCCCGCTGGTCGCATCTGGACTCTGGTTGCCGGTGGTGGTGCTTCCGTCGTCTACGCCGATGCCATTGCCTCAGCTGGCTTCGCCGACGAGCTCGCCAACTACGGTGAATACTCCGGTGCTCCTACCGAGTCCCAGACCTACCACTACGCCCGAACTGTCCTGGACCTGATGCTGCGTGCTCCCATGTCCGAGCAGGGCAAGGTCCTCTTCATTGGTGGCGGTATTGCCAACTTCACCAACGTCGCCAGCACCTTCAAGGGTGTCATCCGCGCTCTCCGCGACTTCGCTCCCCAGCTGATCGAGCACAACGTGCAGATCTGGGTGCGCCGTGCTGGCCCCAACTACCAGGAGGGTCTGAAGAACATGCAGTCTGCCACACAGGAGCTTGGTCTCAACGCCAAGATCTTCGGCCCTGAGATGCACGTCTCGGGTATCGTGCCCTTGGCTCTCATCCCCGGCAAGTGGGAGGCCAGTGGTGTCGAGGAGTTCAAGGCTTAGATGGGATAGACTAAAACATGAGGGCCAAGGGGGGTCGGATTGCGGACAATGATATAGCTATCTATCAGCTCAAGTTATTATTGTTACGTTCTTGTATTTTGCAAACTAGACGGGAATGGTGGGGTAAAGCTTTAATTGTTTTTATTTTTAGCCTTGGGAAGACTTTCGCAGAAGAAGAAAAAAAAGAGGAAGAAAGCAAAGGCTGGGTAAAGGGAAAGTTGATGTCTGCAGCACCTAAGTAAGGAGACGAGACGACATTGAACGACACAAACATGATAATACAAACTCAATTTGACATGTCCACGCGATTTAGCCGATATAGTAGCTGTCAAATCTGTGCCATCCGTCCAGGTGACGTCAAGCCAAGAGGACTGCAGCAGACACTAATGTAGGTTATACGAGGATTTGATCCAAGTGACAGAAGTGCCACTCCAAGCACGCCCTAGATCGATAAGTGTGTAGGGCCTTGTAGTTGATGTCTCTGGGATAGGATGCCTGCCTCGATTGTGCCTAGCCCATCTGCGGAGCATTTCACAGTGGAGACGATATGTACAGGAGGGATTTGCAGTTTGAGGCGGAGAGGCATGAGTATGTGTGTGTGCGCGGTGACTTGCTTTGTCCTTCGGCTGTCTGCTTCCGTGTCTCGAAATGGGTAAAGGAGGCATGTCTTGCGTGCAAGACAGAGATCGATTCTCGCTGCTGTTCTGAGCCGCACATCCCACGTGGCGGGCTGGAGGCCCAAGTCGTTCACGCAAAGGGCCTGCCAACTTGAGTGGTTACTCCGTCCAGATAAGTGGCTCCGGACCTCGGTCCCTGAGATGGGATCATCACTCGCATCGATTTCCTCGTCCCCGGAGCTGTCGGCGGTGCGTAGGGACGGATCGTGACAGCGCAGCGAGAGGGGTTTAGGAAATAGGATAAAGCCGGAGAAGCAGAAATTGCCCATCTCAGCAGTCCTATCTTGTCTGAGAGGGAAGCTGAGAAGAGCAGCTGGACCAGCTACCCCTCTCTTTTTCTCTTCTCCTCATTCGCCTTCACCGCATCGTTTCCTTGGGGGTTATCTGGTAGGCCAGCCGCAAACTTGATACGCTCGATCCCTCTGGTGATGGTGATGTGATGTAAGCCAGCTCACTGGGATGCCGGCACCACCCCCCTTCAAGACGGATCGATCCATGCATTGATTAGAAATGCCTAGGCACTCACCTAGGCACTCAAACACTGTACTCGTATCTCGCTGCTTAGAGACGGCGAGAAAGGACCTGGAGACGGTGCTAGGCTTAGGGCTAGGCCGGGGAGGAAGAGCACACCGCAAAGGTGAAACCGGGGAGACAGGTCGTGCGTACGAGTACAAGGCCGTTATAGCACTGGCCTTAGTAGCTGCCTGGCTCTGCTGCGCTGTGGATTTCCATTTGCCATCAATTCAATCCCATACTGGCCGGGGGGGAAGAGTCATCGCCAGCTGTTCTGCTGTGCGCAACTTCTAGGCCCTCGTCTCGCCTGTCGTCCGTCGACCTCATGATGTGCCGGATTAAATGCAATGAGACTCTGCCGCCTTCCTTCGACGCATCTGATGATGCTTCTTGCCCAAGTCGTAGCTCAGCTGAGCGCGTGACGCGGCTTCCGATGTGATAAGTCAACGAAAATGCAGCGCGGATGCTCTTTCCAGCGTCGTCCAGTTCCACAGGGTAAAGTCATAGAGTCAGGGCAGGGTTGTTGTTGCCCACTCCCACTCGTTATCTTATCCAGCATCCAGCCCCTCCGGCCGCGTGCCTGCCATGTCCATGTCCCTGCCCTGTGCCGGATCCGGGGGTGTGGCAGTGGCAGTGGCAGTTGCTGCTTCTCCAACTCTGCTGAAGCCCATCGCGGCTCTTCCTTCCTGCTTCCTCCCTTCCTCCCTTCCCCTCTCTCCCATCTGCCATCTCCCGTTATCCCAGTCCCATTGGCGCTTTCCCTGAGGCTGCTCTGGAACCACCTAAACAGGGCTTCCTTCTTTCCTGGTTGCCTCTTCTGCCCACGATGGCGTCAGTCTCGGATCATAAGGTGCCTGCCTGCCTAGTGCCCGTATATAAGAAACCGCCGGGCCGTTCTAGCTTCTCGGCCTCTTCCCGTATCCGCCTCTGCGTCTCTCTCGCCGACTCATTTTTTTGTCCAGAGTCCCGCTTCTCGTCTTTGCTTTTTAACTTCTTTCTCTGGCTCCTGCCTTGACGTGCCCCATACTCCGTACAGCAAGCGCCAACCAAATCCGCACTTATACAAGCAAAGAGAGCGCCCACACCACCTTCCAGCCAGACCTTTAATAAACGACGCCCCGAAACGTGCAATATCCAGGCACAGGGGAGGGGAAATCTCTCGTTCCCGCACAACCTTTTTCTCTAATTTTTTTTTTCTCTCCCTCTTTTCTTTTCTTTTCCCGATTCACCCTTTTCCCATCACCTGTCCGCCTTTTATCCTTCTCAAGTCTTTTCCGGAACCAAAGAGTCACGATATCGATCTGCGTCGGACACAAACTCTAAACCCCACCCCCACCCTCTATCTGGGAGCCTGTCAAACGCACGTCATTATCTGCACTTAATAAGCCGCCACGCCTTTGTGTTACTTGAGCCCAGCCCAGTTGACTCCCCGTCAGAAGTCAAAAGGGAATATCCCGAGGGACGAGCGCATCCGGAAGTGCGCAAAAGCAGTGCAAATCAGTTGCAGCACCTCGATTATTTTTTTTCCCGCCTTGCTGAGCTGGCACGTGGGTACAGTAATCCACTGCCAGTGCATTCAAGGTGTGTGGATTCTCTCTGTTTCGTCTTGCTGCATGGGTATTTGGGATCATGTGCCCTCTTATTTGACTGTCTATTATCCTATCATGCAATTGCTTCTAGAAACTATCCACATATCTCTCTTGCGCTTTACCTTTTGTTATTAACCAAGTTCCCTATGGGGTAGGTGACAATCCGATCAGCGCAGGCAATTCAGAGCCCATTTCATCTTTTCACTCATCTGCATATCCTCGGTGTAAGAATAAAGTATGGCTCGCCTCGTCGAAGCGTCGACTCCCGTCGATTACTGTTGCTCCGGGTGCTGCAAGGCTGCTGATTTTGGCACCCACGACTACTGTCTCCCATGCGAGACCAACCCATCATGCACTACCAGCTTGGACAAGACTAAGGACATTGACCAGCCGCCGAAGGGGGATTCTCAGGATAAGGACCACAGGGGCCCCTATGGCTCGCATCAATGAAACGAGGAGACAGAAAGGGGGAGAGAAGAGCGAAAAGCAGAATCGCAAAAAAAAACAAAAACAGGACACAATAGCATATGGCCCTGATTCGGGGTCCTGGGGGCTGGCCCCCACGCGCGCTTGCCGCTACACTACTGCAGACAAACCATTGCTGGGAGTTTGGGGCTATGAGATATTTACGGTACTGCGAAATGCTTTAGAAGTTGTTAGAATATTCGGACCAGTTTGCTTGAGCGAGAAAGAGGCAAGAGATAATCATCATCATGGTTGAGCTAAATGGGATATCTAAAGGTCCAAAGCAGAATGAGAAAGAACATGTATATTTACATTAAAGCAACTTCATTAATTTCCTTGTGTATCCCCTCATCCCCCTTGAACAGTGCAGTACTAAAGTATCAACAACGGTCGCCTACATACAGTTCCCGCCCATTTAGATAAAGAACATGGCCACCAAGGGCAGAGCGAGGGCCACCGAAACAGGGCGCATCCAAGCAGCGGCACTGTCCTTATCCTTGGTGTCGCTCTTAGATGACGAGTTGTTGGAGGAGGACGAGGAAGAATCCTTGTCGCTCGAGGTGCTGTTGCTAGTAGAGCCGGTGTCGGCCGAGTTCTTGCCGCTCCAGTTGCTCTCATCGTCATCGAGGGGAACAACCTTGAGGCCGGTGATCTTGTTGCCCTCGGCATCCTCGACGTTGAGCTTGACGTTCCAGTCGGAGATCTTGACCAGGGCACCCTTGGGCTTGTGGCTGATGCCGTTGTCGATGAGGCCCTGAACGCCGGGAGGGGGGACTGGCAGGGTGAAGTTGTTGTCGAAACCCTTGACCTGGATGAGCTTGGAGTTGCACTTGGGAGGAGCCGGGGCCTTGGTGGTGGCCTTTTGCGTCTGGACCTTCTCCCAGTTGATCTTGGCAAGCTGGGCCTTGAGACGGTTATAGTCGCCGAGGATCTGCAGGGTGTCGCCAGTGATGTTAACAAGGCCATAGTGGTTTTCCTCCTCAGTGTACTCGTAAACGACACCGCCGGAAAAGACGGGAGTCATTTCGGGGCCATAGATGGCCTGCGTCTCGTTCCAGTAGCGGGGCATGGGGGTGTTGCAGCCGTATTCGGAGAAGAAGACGGGGATAGAGGTGTTGCTGAAGTTCTCGGTCAAGACATCGTAGGACGAGCTCTGGTAGGTGGCATCTGGGCCGCACCAGCTGTACGAGTTGATGGCGAAGACATCAGCACGGCTCATGTCATTGGCATCGCCGTCCTCGGAGCACTGCATGTAGTTCCAGGTGTCCCAAAGGACCTCGCGGACGTCAGCAGCCGAGTAGCCAACGGGAACCTGACGCTTGATGTTCTTCTTGATGTAGTTCTTCAGGTCACGGGTGACGGCACGAAGATAGGGGGGGACGAATTCGGCGGAAGGAACGTCATTGATGACTTCGTTTCCGGAGAAGAAGAGCAAGGTGTTAGGATAGTTGCTGAAGGCCTCGGCGATGGCAAAGGTGCGATTAGAGTAGGCTTCATAGTAGCTGGTCCAGGGCTCGAACGAGGTGATAGCCTCGCCGACCAGAGGAGAGTTGACATCCAGGATCATGTACATGCCAGCCTGCGCAGGGAGTGTTAGCAGCTGCGTATACACCAATACAAAAAGAGTAAGCTCTGGGAATGCAGATACGTACGGCATTGAAGATACTGGCGCACTCGTCGTGGTTCAGGTTGGGGTCGAGGTTGTAGACGCGAATGGCGTTGACACCCATGACCTGCAGAAGAGCGGCATCACGCAGGCAGGTATCGGCATCGCTGAGAGGATCCTTGCCCGCCTTGGGGTTGTATCCTGCACTGCCACCGGGCTGGTACGCAACACCAACAAGCTGGAACTTGTTGCCGTCATCGTCAACGAAGTCGGTTCCCTTGATAGAGAGAGGCTTGACGGCTCCCACGACGGTGGCGGCAAGAGCCACGAGAGCAGATTGCATCTATGGCGAGTACGAGTTAACAAATGCGTCGAGACACGTATATGAACGAAAATGAAAAACCCAGATGGCGAGATCAGCAGCAAAGAGGGTGATTTGTATTCATCCCCAGATGAGGCTCTCTCTGTGTCATGCATCTCCAGATGTAAACAGCCTGTGAGCCACCGCAGGAAGACGACTTACAAGCATGATGAAGGTTTGCTGATGAATGCTAGCTAATTCTCCAAGCTGAAAGAAAAGAATACGATCAAAGCAGTTTTATGGAAGCTTAGGTAGATGATTTTGGTCAAAAGCAGTAGCTAAATGAGTGATGATGATGCGAAGCGAAGCAGTCGGGAGGACACGGAGGCCAAAGGAAAGAAGCAACGACGACTCGAGGTTTCTGCAAAAAGAGTGACTGGAAGCAGCAAAAAAAAAGAGGCGCTTCCCAAAAGCCCAAGATGCGTCTCCGGGCGAGCAACGAAAACGAGTGAACGAGTGTCGAAACGAGCGCGAGGCGTGTCTTTGGACGAAGCTTGAAGGGAATGTTTGTGGCGGGAAGGGTTTCCGGGCGTACAAGTACTTCGCTGGAACGGAGCAGCCTCGAGGACCCTGACAAGCCTGGGCTGGGGGCGGGCACAAGCACAAAGAGCGGAAAAGTCCAGGTCCCGTCCCTTCTTGGCCGTGCAAAGGGTCGTTTCGTATTGCAATTGGCCATCTCTGGGCGGACGCAGCTGCTGGGCCAGGGGTCGAGGGCGCTGCTGGTGGGCTGCAGAGGCTGCTAAACGGGCACCTAATGGCACCTAAATGGCACCTACAGGCAGAGTGATGGAGCACCTGATGGCACCATGTCGCAGCGCTAGTGGCGGTAGGCCAGGAACGGGCGGGGCCCCGCTGCAACGGTGCAAAGAGGTCGAATCAGCGGGATGGATTTGATTGATTGATTGCTGCTGCAGATCAAAGACGCTGATCCTGGATGAAGAATGCCGTGGATGCGGTTTTGCATTCGTGAGACAAACTAGACGGAGCCAGCATGAAACTCGATCTATATTCGACACCGCCAAATAGAGTACAGGTGTTGTATCTGCATCTTTTCCCACTGAACGTTACAAACCGTCATCACAGGTAGCATCATCCATCATCCTCATCCCTTTTTCTCTTCTTTTGCGCCATCATACGAAATGCCCAGCCAGCCGAGGCTGCTCCTCATATTCTCTCACCATCCGTTGGCCTCTTGGCCGTCCAGGTCTGCCATGCCATCATTACTCATGTGGCGAGACTGCTGGGCCCGGGCTCTCGTCAACCCACGTCCATGGCAAAAGACTATACCAGGTAGGTCCATAGGTACTAAGTAAGGTAGGCAGATATTCCCTGTCGCTACCAATGTCCTAGGAATAGGCGACACATGCACTATCTTGGGTAAAAGATGCATACGAGAATCTAATCAAAAAAAAAAGCCCTCTCTCGTGTTCCGCAACCCCGTTCGCTCACACCGAACGAGACTCGGGCTAAACAGCACGAATGAAAACCCCCGCTTACTGGTGCAGCAGCCCATTATAGCAGGTACTCGTATCAAACGGATGGATGGCAATGGCACAATGGGCTATTACGCTTACCACATTCCCGCTATTAACAACGAGGTAGCCCCGTGTGCTCTTCTGTGACGGCCAACCAGCTGCAGCGGCGCAACGAAGAGCTGATCCAGAAACAGTACCTGCTGCAGGTACGAGCACCAACCTCGTGTGTGGCCCTCGGGAACGGCGTTTTTGTTTGCGCTGGTTCAGCTGCTAGCTTCGTACCGGACTTTGATCTGCTCGTATCGTATCAGGGGTTTTTTAGGAATCCAATGCGAATTCAAAGCAAAAGAAGCTTTTTCTCCCCCAGGCTCTACTTCTTCTTCACAGCCCTCTTCAATGACCTCATTGGAACCTTATTCGAACCGCAACAGAAAATTAGTCTGCTTGCTTGGCACGAAGGGGGCGAAGCCATAATTGATCTCATGTCACAAAAACGAAATAAAGCCATGGACATCAAATAACGCCAGTAGCTCGCCAAGGGCTTGGGTGATTCCAGCGCTTTCACTCCCCAGAATCTCGCTTCTGCAGCGCAGGGAATATTAAAATGAGATGAGCACAAGCGTCCAGGTCCCTGGCCCAGTTGCCAACTTAGGGGCTGGTTGGCTGACCAAAGCAGTAAGGCGACCGACCCAGTTGCTTTTCAGGGTAACCAATACCACCCAACCCCGCGTTTGATTGGCCCGGCATCCCACGCTCTCACCGCCTGCCCTCTGTAGTTTCCAGAGCCTATTGATCTTTTTTTCTGCCCTCTCCATTACCGTAGCAGTTAGTGCGACAGCGACTTTCAAGATCCCGCGATCCTGTCCAGCAACCCCTCCAGATCTGCCCAGCGGCTCTCATATGCCTCCCCGCCTCCAGCTCCCAGCGATATCATTCTACCGCCGCCCAATCTCCCAGTTTCCGAGAGTCAAGTATATAAGCACAATGGCCACTCGTAAGCTCCATCCAACAGCCCTGCCAATCCCTCCTCAAATCAATGGGAAAAAGAACAAAAGGACAAAAAAAACCAGCTGACACCCTCCTCCAGCTCCTCCTGACCGCCGGCCCATCGTCGTCTCCGGCCCTTCGGGCGTCGGCAAGGGAACTCTCTACGGCCTGCTCTTCGAACGCCACCCAGACACCTTCTGCCTCTCCGTCTCGCACACCACCCGCGACCCTCGCCCCGGCGAGGAGCATGCCGTCCACTACCACTTCGTCAAGATGGAGGACTTTGAGGACCTTATTGCAAAGGACGGCTTCGTCGAGCACGCAAAGTACGGCCGCAACCGCTACGGCACCAGCAAGATGACCATTGAGGAGCAGACCAAGAAGGGCAAGGTCGTCCTGCTGGACATTGAGATGGAGGTACGCCTAGCCGCCAAAAAACACCCAAACATCCGTCTATAATTATTACAAGGAAATGAAAACACATATATAGAGAGAGACAGCTAACATATGGGCACAACAGGGAGTCAAGCAAATCAAAAACTCCGGCATTGACGCTCGCTACATCTTCGTCTCCCCTCCATCCATCGAAACCCTGGAGCAGCGCCTACGGGGCCGAGGCACTGAGACAGAGCAGAACATCCAGGAGAGACTGGCTCAGGCCCAAAAGGAGCTCGACTTTTCAAAGACACCCGGCGTTCACGACATCATCATTGTCAACGACGACCTTGAGGCGTCCTACAAGAAGTTCGAGGAGTTCGTCTACAGCCCTCCACAGTAAACGAGACACGTATCCTTTCATATTAGCAAATACCCATCGAGATGCCCTTTCATTTATTACAATTATGTACACCAGGGCATGGCGCATCTATTGGACACAACGATTCCTTTGCTCTAGATAGCCAATAGCGGCGACGGTCACCAATTGTTTCACACAAACATAGAAAGCAAGCTTGAAAACGTAAAAAGCAAAGAGACAAATGCAAAATTAATCAACATATCATACTCTCTCTATCTCTCCACACTCTGCCACTCTTCCTCGACGACTCAACTAACTGTAGGTATATTGGAAAGTACAGGTATGGGGATTTGATTAAAACGTAAGAAAAATGGTCAAGGAAGGCTCCGACGATACTACTTAAATAAAAAGGACAAAATAAAATGCGTATAAAAGGACCGTAAGCGAGGTGCGTCGTGCCATTGAGCGACTCACAATAGCCACAGTGCATGCCGCCCTTATAAACATCGCATGGCTGGTATACGCGCCCAGTCGTTTTCGATCGCACGTCGGCTCTCAGTGCTCTCCACCTCTCGTGCCTTTGCTTCATGCCAACAAGGCCATTGTTGAGCCGGATTGCGGTGCAAGACGGACAATCCTCACCTCTTCAAATTAGAAAATACACTGCTTTTCCCTTTACTGCGCACAACACCAATCCCGAGGTGATAATTATCGCAAGATTGGCTAATCACCGTGACCGCTTAGAGACGCCATCGCTCTCCCTATCAACTGAATATTAAGCACATGGAGGAAACTTAGTATCCGTTCATGCCCATTCGCTGGGAGCCCCGGCTCATCTCACGGTCAGCGGCAGGGCTGATCGGTCTGCTGGCGGCACCACCACCGTGTGCGCTGCTCTCCTTCAGCGCAAGCAGCTGCTTGGCGCGGAATGTCTCGTAGTGGATCTGGGAGGTGGTCTCGATAAGGTCCTGGAGGTGGGTTCGGAGCAAAAAGTTTCGCAAGTAGACGAATTCGCAGTGGTTCTCATCCTCAACGTTGATGACGCCCCAGCGGTTCTGACGACCGCGGACCTGCTTGCCGTTGACAATGATGTTCTTCTCAGAGCCAACAACCGCAAAAGGAACCAAGCTCTACAAACGAGTACGTTAGCAAAAAGCTCTCTGAGCAATAAGACCAAAAGGAAAACAAGAAGAGAAAAATAAAAAACATGAAAGGGAGAAACAATCATGTGCTTACCTTGATCTGCTGGTTCAAAGCTCGCTCCTCGTCGTCAAACTCCTCGTTATCGTACGGGAACATCTTGAGGTTGTGGAAGGCAAACTCGGCCTTGATACGCTCCTTGAATTCCAATCGCTCCTCGACAGTCAGGGTATCCGCCTTTGCAATGACGGGCACAACGTTGACAACATCGGACAGCTTCTTCAAGACGACGATATCGATGGGCTTGAGAGAGTGGCCAGAAGGCTGGATGAAGAACAGGCAGCAGTGAATGCGCGTGTCGGGGATGTAACGCTCTCGCTGAGCGGTAAGCTCCTTTCGCAGGTACGCAGAGTGCTGGTCCTTGATGTACTTGACGATGGGATCCCAACAGCGGTCGTTGTTGACGAGGTCTCCGTATCCAGGGGTATCAACAATGTTGAGCCTCAAACGGACACCGTTCTCCTCAATGAGGTGAGAGACTCCCTGAATCTCGGTGGTGGAGCGGATAGGCTCGTCGGGCTGCAGACGACCCTTTGAGTCGATGAGGTGCGAGGCGAAGATGGTGTTGATGAGCGTCGACTTGCCCAAGCCAGTCTGGCCTGTAGAGGCGGTTAGTGTTCCCATTCAGCACCCGATGCATCGCCATCCTCAGCGCGTGCGCAACTTACCAACGCAAATAACGTTGAACTGGAATCCGCGCTTCAGCAGCTTGCGCTCAATCTGCGACGTGATGCTGTCGAAACCGACATGGCTGGAGGGCGTGATGGTGGAGGGAGTGGCCATTTTGACTGGTTCTGCTTGTGGTAGGGGGGGAACGAGTGAAGGCGACGATGGATGCTGCTGATGAGCCTGTTCCAAGAAAAAGAGCGAGAGCTTTCAGCGAAGACGCGTGAGAGAACAGCAGACGCGAGGCCGGCAGTGACAAAGCGGGAACCTGATTGAAGTGGAATTGGAGGTTTGTGAACTGGAGAAGGGGAACTTTTTGGACCTGGCGGTGGCTCCTTACTCTTACTGGACCAGTTGGCGTGTTCTTGCTTTGCCAGGTAACTGCAATAATTTCGGCGTAGGGGCAGGAGCAGGCCAGGGACACGAGAAAGGGGGGGAAAGAGGTGCCAGGGGTAGCACAGCATTGCGAGCTGCTGATTGGCTGTGGAGCCGTCCCGGGACCCTCTGGCCGGCGATTGGCCTGTTTGATTGCTAAAAAGTGGCGCTGCGAGAAGCCGTTGTACTTCGGTACTTCAGCGGTACGCCAGCGCCCCAGTCGTGGGCGGAATGATGCCCCAGAGTCGGACGGAACCTGGAGGTACCTGGGTACTTCATGCTAGGTGGGATAAGCTTGCTAGAGGCAAGATTTTGATGATTCGATTTTCTCGATGGGCGCATTGCCGATGAACCACGACAATATCGAATCCCGCGCCGAACTGCTAACGAGACACGACGACAAACCGAGACACGGCTCCGAGCTCTGAATTTTCTGGATAAGTACAGCCGAATATTTACTTGCGGCGTGCTTTGCATTAGGGAATCGGAATTTCGGGTTCTCTGTGCGCACAATCAAGCTGCTTTTTGCGCCAAACGACCTCGAATACAAGATCAAAGCATCATAATGGCTGCCATGGCCACCGCTTTCCTCCCCAGACTGGCGTCGCCTCTCTCTTTCTCTATCTCCCGATGGGCGACTTTCTACACCACACAATATACCCTCAAGTTCCTTCCAGCGCTATCAATCGCCGTCCCCGGCGTCACCATCAACATCCCCGGACTACTGGGCGATATTTGGGAATCAGTCTTGCGGGCAGTCCCCAAGAACAAGGTTTCACACTCTAAGAAGAGATCAAGGCAGATGGCTGGAAAAGCTCTAAAGGACGTCAATCATCTGTGCAAATGTCCCGGCTGCGGAGAGGTCAAGAGGACGCACAGGCTATGCCAAAACTGCTTAGAAGGTACGGCCACGAAATGAGGGGTCTATTGGCTCGTGCAATGCTAACGATGGTCTCCCTGAAATTAGACATGAAGAGAATATGGCGTCAAGATTATCCTGTAAACAGAGGGTTCTAAGCGATAGATGGCTGGATTCCATCCGACACCTTTGCCAGAGGCCTGTATACCACAACCTCTGCCTGACCAAGCATACGGCTAGCGTTTGCCTCAGCCAAGGCTTTGTTTCATTATGTACTACTAGTATGAGGATCGGGATAGAGAAATCGGGTGGTAGAAAAGCGATGCTCTTAAACAGATACAAAAAAAAATTACGAACATGTGAACAACATTTGCCCGTTTCCGCCAAATGACCTATGCGTAGCGTAGTTTAGAATCTCTGCGCAATTTATCAGCTTTTTAAAAAGAGAGAAGACCCTTTTTGTGAATTATTATATCCAATTGCAATTCATTGGCATAAACTAGATGAGAGCAACATGTCGATGTGGTTCATTGTCTCATCTTGGCCTTTGCATATGACGCTGGCATTGTAACGGACCATTTAACCCCACCAACTCACAAAGGCACCAAGCTTCTACCACGGCCCAGCCAAAACAACCACTAAGCAACAGCAACATCGCAGTCAGGAGACAATGGTATGGCCCTCGTCAAATTCAATATGATACTACAAAAGCTCACTTATCCGACTATATAGTCCAAGCAATATTTGACCACCCATACGGTGGATGACGGTTTGTCGTCGTCATTTCGCTCGTCAAGAGCTAGACAGCTAATGAGTGATCCCTAGCCCACATCACAGACATCTTCTCACTGGCCGCAACGCCAAGGACATTGCTCTCGGCCAGCGGCTCTTCAACTCTTCACGTCCATGACACTACGGACCCTTCCTTTCCTCTGAGACAGTCCATTCCTGACGCCCACAAACTAGGCTGCCATCATGTCTGCACATCACGCAACGGCCTGTATGCTGCCAGTGCTGGCTTCGGAGGTGAAGTCAAGATATGGGAGCTGAACAAGGAGACTGGAGACTGGAGCAGCGGCGGTGAAATCACGGGCCCAACCATCAAGCCAGGTGAAGTGTGGGCGATTGCTCTCAGCGAGGACGGAGGCTATCTGGCAAGCACTACCAATGACGGCAGGATCAATGTATGGGATGTCGCAGACCAGAGTAAAGCAAAGATTCGGGAGTATGAGACTGGGAGCGCGGGTTCAGGCAGCTTTGGCATGTGCGTGGATCTCAGCAGAGATGGAAAGTTTACAGCCAGCGGGCACCAGAATGGCTCCGTCTACGTGTTCAACAATGACACGGGAAGGATTCTATACTCCTTGTCTGGTCGGTTACACCCCCATCTTCAAGTTTACTGGTTTTCTTCGATCTTGAGGCTAACAGGAATCTACAGGCCTTGCCAAACCTGTCCGAGCCGTAGCAATCTCGCCTGCCGGCACCAGGGTAGCCGCGGCAGGTGATGCTGGCATCATTGCCATATACGATACAAAGCACGGCGAACACGTCGGCAACTTGACGGGACACTCATCATGGATCACTTCACTGGACTGGAGCGACACTGGTGAGTATCTGCTGAGCGGCTCCATGGACGGCAAAGTGAAGGTGTGGTCAATCGAGCGCAGCGTTTGTGTTGCAACACATAGCGAGACGGACAAGGCACTCTGGGCCGTCCGGTGGCTGCCCAAGACTGGGCGCAGCGAGATGTTTTGCACGGCCGGCGCAAACAGGAGCATTTCATTCTACAGGGAGGCGACAGGCAGCTAGGCTTCTCACAGGCGGGCGCGGGAGCATTAGAAAGGATACACAGCATGTTGAATTGTGTAATTGGACTTTCTGCTCCTCATCCAACTCATAAAGTTTACCACGTGATTAGATGTGTGATTGCAACGAAAGAACAAGAAATTGAAGCTTCATGGCTACCACGTGACATCGTTCCAGTCTCGCGTTGCCCCGCCAAACTTTAGCGCCAGTTTGCGCATCATACACATCACAGGTAGCTAATAGGCAGACGCTCCACCCTGATCGCCAGTGTTCCTGCATCTCATTTTCGACCGATCTTGACTGTGTATACACACGACAAAAGCATTGATACGAGCAAGACAACTATAGTCGTGGAGTTACCACCATAATTGCTGCATTTTATCGGTATTCAATAACACTACAGGGTATCATCATCGAGCAATGCCTACCACCAGACGAGCAGCAGCGGCCGCCCGGGGTCGTCCCGGCCCCGCCAAGGGACAGTCAACAATCAGCTTCACGGGCAGGGTTACAAAGGCTGTGCCAAAAGATCTAAAGAAGGCGGTGACGGACACTCCCGCAATTACTAAGACTACCATCCCGGAGAGGCCAGCATCAAAGGGCGCAGTAACCAAGGAGGAAGAGGAGGAAAAAGTCGTCGATGTTGTTGCAGACGAGCCTGAAGTCCACGAGGAGTCGGAGGCGGAAGTAGAACCTGTCGCCGAAAAAGCCCCAGAGAAAACGGAAGCAGAGCTCAAAGCAGAGAAGATCACAGATGCTCAGATCAAGTCGTACTGGAAAGCGATTGAGAAGGTGCGCAAGGCGCCTCGAGTGCACCAGGAGGACCTTGACTTGGGCGAGAAAGTGCTGCGATACTTTGATGTGAGCTCGCAGTATGGCGTAAGTTTACAAACCCCCACTCCTCTCTTATATGGAGGTGCAGAAATGTTTGAATTGGATATGTGTTAACATCAGCTTCATGAAGCCTTGTATCGGAATCACTCGCGTGAAACGATGGCAGCGAGCTGAGCGTCTTGGCATGAAGCCTCCGATTGAAGTTTTAGCGGTTCTTTTGAAAGAGGAGAACAAGGAGAATGACGAAGTTGAGACTGCGCACATGGATCGGATAATGAATGCCACGGCTTTGTCCACATAAGAAAACACATCAGCAGGGGTAGGGTCGCGGCGTTTGGTGTAATATGTTCTTTTTCTATTTTTCATCTTCATGATTTCTTTTGGAGCTATGATGGGTATACGAGTTGATTGGTGTACCATCTTTGCAGATGTACAGAGATGGTGTATGTTTATTCTATAATTCGAGATGTCATGCTCCGTGCCATATGCTTTGATTAAGTCCTCATCCAAGAATAGTGTGGAATCAGTACCAGATGCTGCGTGTTCGATGATGAGGAATAGTTTCTTTGCCCGCTGCTTCCATCTCTTTCATTGTGTCGTAAAGGAAGAAGTCGATCAGAATAGCATTGACGTGGGTATCGGGATGTGCCTTCTGGATCTCCCTCCGTATCAACTCAACACACCAAATACTACAAGCTGCAACAATGTTAATAAGAGATATCACAAACATTGGAATGAAGTAAGATTTTTACCTCGTAGTTGGATCTCCCACTTGCTTCCGCTTTCAATAAGTTTCTTATCGCGGATCGCCGCGTGGATCTGCGGACCGATGTATAATGCGCCGAGGGTAGAGAGGATCTGAGGCACGCGATAGTCTGCAAACATTGTAATCTTGTCAATGTCACGGAACTCGCCATATGACTTGCCCTCGAAGCAAGCCCATATGTCGGCCACGAAGATCTGAGCGCGCTTCATGATGCGAATGGGGTTGCGTCTGCCCTCAAAGGGGTGCTCGTCTCTAAAGCAGTCAAAATCTCTGGCAAGCAGGTTGACGAGCTGGGCCGCGGAGCCTTTGGCTGCGGAAATGAGGTTGACAACAGAGCAATCGTATTTCTTTGAGTGATGGAGTTAGACTTATATACTATGCATATCATGTATGAGAGAGTCTATAACTTACGCTGTACAGCACGTTTCCGCTTTCTCGGAGACAGTCTAGTCGCTCCTGGAGAAGAGGCATCTCTTCCTCTGTGCAGGATCTAAAGACGTGTCTGAGAGATTCCAGGTTGCACTCTTCCTCATTTTGCCAGAAATGGGGATCCGTAATGGGGATGTCTGATAAAAGTCAGTGTGAGAAGATGATGATATAAATCGGCAACATAAGAACCAACCTTCCTCAAGGGCCCTCTGCATGGCTGCCACAAGACTCCAGTACCCCGTCCACCGCTTCCCCTTGTACTCAATAGCAAACCTCTCATCATCAGGCAGCTCAGACCAGAACGAAAAGTTGAGCAGGTCCATGGTGAAGATGAAGGCGGCGGTGGCCTCATCCTTTGCCTTGGGATGCAGCTCGTGCGATGACCAGGTGGAGGTGGAATAGCTCTTCTCTTGCATCTGCGCATAGATGGACTCTGCGGCTCGCTTTGTCGACTGCATGTCGATGGCTACGTCGATTCCATGGTTGTAGACGTATTCGGCGTCGGGCAGGACGCCTGTCTCGGGCTCTTCGTCTTTGATGGAGACGCCTTGCAGGTGCTGGCGAAGAAGAGCGAGAAGCTCGAGATCTACCTCGTCATCTGACATTATGGGAAGAGGAAAGAGGGAAGAGGGAAGAGGGAAGAGTGCGAAAATTAATTGTATGTGAAAGGCAGAATAGCCAAGTGAAGTGAGGTCAAGATCTTGTTCACTGGAAAGGCCAAAAGCGATTCTGGCTTGGGTGGGCAGCGCTGTGAATAGCACCCCGCTGAGCCGAGGACTGGTGTCTGTAGAGCCCAATCAGGGCTTTTCTCAGTGTTGGAATCTGGGATGCTGTGGATTATCAGGCGGCAAGTTGGGTCCAAAAGAGTTACAAATATGCCTGCAGCAGGTTTCTGTCTACGATATTTTATCAAGGCTGTTTTTTGCATTCCTTTCTTCCTCATCACTCATATTCCTCAAATTTTATGCACCCAAGTATCTCATACATCATCCATTGAAAAATACTAAGGAAAATAAAAATCCAGTCAGGCACACGCAGCCTTGCTCTCAAAGTCACTCCCGCCAATCTCTTATCTTAGCTCAGCCAATCAGCACGCTGGGAACGCACGGGCCCCTCGGGCATATTCCCCGGGCCTCTGACCTCATCTCATTGGTCGCAATCCGGTTTTCCAACTGCCTCGTACCTTGTACTTGAAGACCTGGAGCTGCACCTGCGCCGAGCATCGCCAGACCAACAGCTGAAAAAGTGACGAGGTTTGGCGCAATCGATTCGACGCCTTCTGCTTCACCTACGACCGACCGCCTTCGAACTTCATCCCCAAATACAAACCCCGAATCTCTCGTCATCGCAACTGTCTTTATTTCCTGCCTCAGTGCCCGTCACTCGCGCTGATGGTAGCGATGGAGGCTCCCAGAGAGGCTGCCGTGGATACAGTCGAGAGCACGTCAACTGCTGCTGCTGCCACCGCTGCCCAAGAGCCTCAGCAGCCGCCGCGGATTGTCGCGTCACATCCCGCACCTCCTCAGCGAAACGCAATGGCTACGCGCGATCGATTTAATCACCAGTCGCTGGGCGCATCTCTGAATTCCTCAGTCAAGCATGTACGTAGGATGATGAGGCTGTGGTTTTGGAAGCTTAAACTCTACTGTCCCGCGATCTGAACCCACGCTGGCAGTCAGCTCCCCCATTTGATCTGAGCCATTCACCCCCTCTGTTGCTTCTACTAAATTCGCATTTTCTCTTGCTTCAATAATCTTTTTTTCCCCTGTTGGATTCGAACTTGGACACTGACCTTGGTCACAGGCGCGAGTGCTCATGGTGGGCGCTGGTGGTATCGGATGCGAGCTTCTGAAAAACCTAGTCCTCAACGGCTTCGGCGAAATTCACATCGTCGACCTCGATACGATCGATCTGTCCAACCTCAACCGACAATTCCTCTTCCGACACGAGCATATTAAAAAATCAAAGTCGCTGGTGCGTTGGATGCCGAGGCTGCGCTAGAGATCGGCCGAGTTTCGCAATGCTAACTTCTAGGGCAGGTTGCCAAAGAGGCGGCACAAAGGTTCAATCCAAACGTCAAGATTGTCGCGCATCATGCCAACATCAAAGACGCCGAGTTCAGCGTTCCGTGGTTTCGTGACTTCAAGATCGTTTTCAATGCCCTCGACAATCTCGACGCTAGGCGGCATGTGAATAAGATGTGCTTGGCGGCAGATGTTCCCCTAATTGAGAGCGGCACGACTGGTTTCAATGGCCAAGTCCAGGTCATCAAAAAGGGCGTCACTGCTTGCTACGACTGCACTCCCAAGGACACCCCCAAGTCATTTCCCGTATGTACGATTCGAAGCACACCGAGCCAGCCAATCCATTGCATAGTTTGGGGCAAAAGCTATCTACTCAAGTAAGAGGCTTCTCCTTGCATCCGGTATGCCTTCGTCATCGTCCTTTCTAACATACTCTACTCAGTGAAATCTTTGGCGTCAGTGAGGATGAATCCGCTTTTGATCACTCAGCGGATGCGGATAACGGTAGGCCATCCATCATACCCGGCGCAAGAAGAAGCTTTATACTGAACAAATTTATCAGCCCAGGAGATTGAAGAACTAAAGAAAGAGTCAGACGCTCTCAAGAAAATCCGAGGAGCAATAGGGACATCTGAATTTCCAAGATTGCTGTTCGACAAAGTCTTTAATTCTGATATCGAGCGCCTGCGATCTGTGGAAGACATGTGGAAATCACGTCGCGCCCCTGAAGCGCTCAAGTATGATGAAGTGATGGCACGAGCCGGCCAGGCTCTCGAATCAAAAGATGCCATACTTGCGGATGGACAGAAAGTTTGGTCCCTTGAAGAAAGTCTTGTTGTCTTCAATGACAGTCTTGATCGGCTCAGCAAGCGACTGCTTCAAATGAGGGCGAACAAGGATCCATCCGCTCCTGAGCCGACCATCACCTTTGACAAAGACGACGACGATACTCTGGACTTTGTAGCATCCAGCGCAAACATTCGTTCCACAGTTTTTGGCATCGATGTGAAATCTCGTTTCGACATCAAACAGATGGCCGGCAATATCATCCCCGCTATTGCCACAACAAACGCCATTGTCGCAGGTCTCTGTGTCTTGCAGTCCTTCAAAGTTCTCAAAGGCGAATACGGCCAGGCTAAGGAAGTATTCCTAACACCCTTTGCCAATGCAAGACTGTTGGCTCCAGATAAGAATCGAGAACCAAATCCCAACTGCCCCGTCTGCGGAGTTTATTACACCAGTGTCATTGCCGATTTGTCCCGGGCAACACTTGGAGACATCGTCGAGGAGTTGGTAAAGGACCAGTTCGGTTATGGAGACAAGGAGTTTGTCGTGAGCAACGACGTTGGCGTGTTGTATGACCCAGACGAGACAGACAACCTCGGAAAGAAACTCACTGAGCTTGGTATGGCATTTCAACGATTCTCTTCCCCTCCCGATCACAACAAAGAAGCTAACAATTATGTAGGAATTAAAGGGGGTAGTTTTCTCACTGTCACCGATGAGGACGATGATGCCCCATTCGTCAATTTGGTGATTGATATTCAAAATGGGTATGTACCATGTAATGAAGTTGTCAGGAGCGAGAAGCTAATCGAGTGCAGCATCTTGGATAACCAAAGAGAGTCATTCCGCACGGTACATGCTGGCCGTCCTGAAATCCCCCACAAGACTCAGAAGTCTTCTCCAGTCGAGACCAACGGCAATAGCCACGGCCAGCAAAACGGAAAGCATTCGTTAGAAGACGAGGTGGTAGAGGAGTCTAAAGGCACCAAGAGACCACTTCCCGACGATAGCAGCCCACCTTTCAAAAAAGCGAAGCTTGTCGGCTCGGCCGATGACGTGGTGGTTGTGGAAGACGCCGGTGGAGCCATCGTCATCGATGATTAATGATATACATTGCTGCATTGAGCGCCAAAGAAGCTGCTGTGATGTCTCAAGCAGCACTCAGCCCGCCGTCGAGGTTGAGAATACAGTTGTTGGCAAAGCCGTTGGATGCCAGAAACAGAGCAGCATCAGCAACCTCTGTGGGATCTGCCACTCTGTTGAGGGGAGTATCTCTGAGATAGGCTTGCTGGATTTCTGGCTTAAGATCTAATATTGGGTTGTACATTAGCTTGGGTACAAGGGGAGGAGGAACAATCATCGTTTCTAAGGGACAAGAAATAGGGAGGAGGATATACACACCAGTCCACATGGAGCTGTTAACCCAGCCGGGCAGCAGAGCATTTACACGGATAGACCGAGACGCCATCTCAAGGCACAAGGCACGGGTAAAGCCTAAGACGATATGAGCATTTTACCACATGAAATGTATGTAAAACAATGTATTTAGTACACAAAAGAAAACACAGAGATGCAAGCATGATGCCGTCTTACCAACTACTCCGGCCTTGGACGCGGCATAAGCCGTGGCCCCCAAGCCACCTTTTGTTGCCATGAGACTAGAGACGTTGATGATGCAGCCTAGGAAAGGATACAGCTGTTAATTAGTCTGGGAATCACAACAGGGGGACGGCTGGTAACATCATGGAGAAGAGGGTTATACCGTTTGGCCTCATCTTTGCGTGTTTACACACAAGCATAGTAGCCAGCAAGTTTGTATCAACGATGGATGAAAGCTCTTCATCTGGAGTTCGTTTTAACAGGGTAGTCTGAGAGATGCCAGCACAGTTGACGAGGATATCAATTGGTCCGACGAATGACTATACATGAGTAGATCCGGTTCATTAGAAGAAATTCATGAGGCACGTGGCTTATACAGGGATATCAATTCTCTTCTTTTTTTTAATTATAGTAGACAATTAATTACCTTGGATGATCCGCGTGGACTAAACACAGCTTTAATCTCGTCCCGATTCGAAGCATCCAGCCGAATAAACTGGTGAGCCGAGGGAGTGTCGGCGTCAGTCCCGGGTAGGCTGTACGGACGAAGCTGCGGCTCCAGACGAGGGCGCGCATCGAGGACGGAGCGGCCCAGCAGAGAGATGACGGCGCCCTGGTGGGAGAATGCCTTTGCTATGGAGAATCCGATGACGCCGGTGGCTCCGACGACGACGCAGTGCTTGCCTGCAAGGGGCAGCGCCATGGTGTTGAGCCTCGATCGGTTTGGATTGAGATTTAGGGCTGAGGATGCGTTTAATGAGTTTTGGTGTTTTTACTGGAGAGCGGGAGATGCTCGGTGCTGTTTTGGGGAATCAGTGGGGGAGCTGGGGGCCTGAAGCCATCCGTTGATCCACTAAAAGGTGCTATGCCTTAGTGTCTGGCGGATGGACTGGATGATGCATGTGATCCATGTCCCGGAGACATAACTTCTTGTCTGAGATGGACCCTGATACACATCGATCCATGATGGATATCCATGGGACTGACTATGCAATTCAGCCGACTGTGATTCCACAAGCGCTTATAGCCGCCAAATACCTACTACATACTCACGAAACAGAAGTACCCTGCAATACTGGTGTTTGGCCGTTTCAAAAGCGGTTATGGACCCTTGGCTTGCAGGTCGTACCTCGGTGCGGAGTAGCGCTGGTAGGATCTACAGTACAGCACATTTGGTGTAAGCAAAGCGGATGGACGCCTCGACGGCCTTTATCTTGGTTTTACGGCCGGCAACGTACCGCTATCTGTGGTAAATGAAGAACCCAATTTGGTAAATCCCTCGGCAGCTAAGCCAACTTGGAAAAAGGGCATGTTCCATTTGGCTTTTTTTTTTCTTCGTATTACCCGTGGTGGCTTTGATTAATATCCAGGCATAGATAGAAGTCTCTTGGCTGTACTGTAAATAACTGCTGGAGCACGAGGCTTACAGGGTTTGGTGGCTTGCCTTTTTACTTCAGTGCGATTTTTTTTTTTTTTTTTTGCGCCAGGGCTCGTCGCATCGCATCTCACTAATAAAAAACTGCGGACTCCGGGGCCACGTCTTCGCTTTTCCCTCCGCCTACTCTGCCTGTCACTCCCCTCCGCTGTCACTCCATGTCGGTTCCCAATATCGTCCCACGACACATTGAGATCCTCCCTGACAGCGCTGTCGACTGCCTGGGATTCCCACCATGAGCGGCACGCGACGCGATGCCCCGCCGCATCACAAGCACAAGGACAGCGTTCCTGACGCGGGGCTGAGAAGTCTCGATCATTGTAGGTCCAACACAGCTCCCGGTGGTGGCGGTAGAAGAGATGAAGACAATCCTCGAGCAGGATCGGTGTTGTGCGACGGTCATGAGAAGATCGAGCATCGGGGGAGAGGAGTTGAAGCTGGAGCGCAGACGAGAGGAGCAATTAGAGGGGACGGTGACATTCAAAGGCAGCAAGACGCATGCGCTGACACAAGGCCACCTGTAGATAAAAGAGCGCTGCCAAAATGGAGATATAACTTGCGACAACAGGCGCTCCCGCTCATCCGCTGGGAGACGCCGTATCTGGCTGCTCTCCAGAGCAAGTTGCGCACCCCGGCGCTCGACAGCTACTTCGCCATCACGGCCAACCTGGGCACGCACACCTTCTTCATGATCTTCCTGCCCATGCTGTTCTGGGGTGGCTATGCGGCCTTTGCCAAGGGGTATGTTTGGGGATGAAGAACCTGCTTCGTTCAAAAGTGCGGCGGCATCTACTGTCGCTTGATCTACTTGCTATATGGGTTTGGAGCTTGGGATTGCTAATGTCGTGGGCGCAGATTGGTCCACATCTTGGCGCTGGGTGTCTTCTGGACAGGCTTCATCAAGGACTTTTACTCGCTGCCCCGGCCACTGTCGCCGCCGCTCAACCGCATCACCATGTCTGGATCCGCCGCGCTCGAGTATGGCTTCCCTTCGACTCATAGTGCCAATGCCGTGTCCGTTGCCGTCTACGCCATTCTGCACCTGCGCGACCCCCTCAACACCTTTTCCGACACGACAAAGCTGCTCCTCGAGATCCTGTCGTACTTTTATGCTGTGTCGATTGTCTTTGGGCGACTCTACTGCGGTATGCATGGGTTCTTGGACGTTATCATCGGATCTATAATGGGGGCTGGTATCACCGTCCTGGAATACTATTACGGGCCGCCATTGGACGCCGCAATGCAGCACGGCACTTGGCTGGTTCCCGTCATCGCTGGCTTGGTTGTTGTCGTCTTTGTGCGAATTCATCCCGAGCCTGCAGATGATTGTCCGTGCTTCGACGATAGTGTCGCCTTCGCCGGCGTAGTAATCGGCTTGGAAGTCGGCACTTGGACTGTCGGAAGGACTTTCCTAGCTGGCGCTGAGTCTAGCATGGGTGTTTTGCCGTATGTGTCGTGGGTTATAGCGGCAAGGATGGTTGTGGGAATCATTGCCATTTTTGTTTGGCGCGAGACTATGAAGCCTACACTGCTCAAGGTCTTGCCTCACCTATTCCGTCTTATCGAGTCGACCGGCTTTGACCTGCCCCGAAGATTCTTTACGCCCGCTAGCGAGTACAAGTCTGTGCCTCCCGGATCGCGGTTGGATACATTATTCCCGACAGCCTCTGATTTTCCTCGCATGGTTGAGAGTATTCGACATCCCACAACTCGAGGTCGATCGGTCTCTATCGGGCCTCAGAGCGCGGCGGATGCATACGAAACCTTGGCTTACCGGGAACGGCAGCGACGGGACAGCATTGGAAGCAATGCAAGTCTCAAGAGCAAATCAAGCAATATGGATCTCAATGGCAAAGAGGAAGATAAGTCAGGCAAGGGAGCACAAACTTCAGGTGCCCAGAAGGCAGCGTTTAATGATAATGAGTCGCTGAGAGGTCCCAATGACATTCTGGTTATGCAGGGATCAGAGAACGGGAACCCGGATATTTATCTTTCCATGGAGGATGCGCGTGACGAGAAAGAAGTCTTTTCTCAGCTGGTGAAGCCGCGAGTGAGATATGATGTCGAAGTTGTCACGAAACTCGTGGTTTATGCAGGTAGGAATCCAACATTGCAACCCTTGAATATCGAGAAGACGACTAACGAGACAAAACCATCACAGGAATCTCGTGGCTTGCAGTGGCAGGAGTGCCCATGGTATTCAGCTTCATTGGTCTCGGCGTTGTCCGTACGGTTGCAGAACGAATTGCCTCTTGAGCAGTGACCGTTGCGCTTAATTGGTTCATGGTAGGCGCAAATCGTTTACACGTATACGTTTCCTTTTGATGAACATAGGGACATGATGGGGCGTTTTCATTTTCTTGCCTTGTTCTGCTTCTTTTATCCTTTCTTGCTTCACGAATTTGGGAACTTTTCAAGCCATTCTATTTTTCTGTTCTGGCACGGCGACTGGTCGCATCATGTGAAAGACAGCCATGAGACAATAAACGGAGAGAGCATGTATCCTAATATTCCTTCTTCCTCTTATTCTCCCTCTTCTTCTTTTTACGATTCTTGTGTTATTATCATAATCATCTTTTTGTGTATATTGGAAAGGGTATTGGGCGGGATTGAAGAAATAGGAGAAATGAATACAACATTGATCCAGAGGACGTACAATTACGAGAAATAAGAATGTACCATACAGGACCTACTAGCAGTAGTCATTAAGAGCATATATTACTACCTGGTCGTAGATGCATTGTGTGATGTGCTGATGCTTAAAGTACATCGTGCTGAGTGTTGTGGCTTCCAGTCCTTTAGTGGCTAACCTTGCTCCATGCTGTGGCGCAGTTGCAGGGGTTTTAATGGGCAGAACACGTCTCGGCGCGTGTAGCTGCTGCACTTGTTCAGCTCCATACTTTGCACATGACAAAAAATTAACGACGACGATTGCATCTTGTCACCCAGGGATCAGCTCATTATAAAGCCATAGACCAAGTGGAATTGAATCGAAAAGCTTGAATTTTACCTCTGCAACTGCTTTTCCCCGCCAAAAATGTCCGACTACGAGGATGAGATGGACGTTGATGGTCCTGGTCCATCCGCCGATATCACATTCTCGGCTGAGGCGACCAAGGGCAAACGGAGTGCTGCTAACCTGCCGGTTGAAGTTGAAGATACCCTGCCATGGTACGAAGGAATCGAAATTTGTGCTCTTGAACAAAGCAGCCCACTGACAATACCTTGTTCAGGGTTGAAAAGTATCGTCCAGTAACGCTCGACGATGTGTCCGGCCACCAAGACATCCTAGCTACCATCAACAAGTTTGTCGAGTCGAATCGCCTCCCTCACCTGCTTCTCTACGGACCTCCCGGCACGGGAAAGACGTCTACCATCTTGGCCCTAGCACGACGAATCTACGGCACTGCCAACATGCGCCAGATGGTGTTGGAGTTGAACGCCTCCGACGATAGAGGCATCGATGTTGTCCGAGAACAGATTAAGACGTTTGCTAGCACAAAACAAATCTTTTCCATGGGCAGCAGTGCAGCAAAGGGCAATTCGATTGCAGGGTTCAAGCTCATCATCCTGGACGAGGCGGATGCCATGACCAACACCGCACAGATGGCACTACGAAGAATCATGGAGAAGTACACGGCAAACACACGGTTTTGCATCATTGCCAACTACGCTCACAAGCTCAGCCCCGCCCTGCTGTCCCGTTGTACGAGATTTCGGTTCAGTCCGTTGAAGGAGGGGGACATTAGGGTGTTGGTGGAGAAGGTTGTAGAGGAGGAGAATGTCAAGATCCAGGGTGAAGCCGTGGATGCACTGGTGAAGCTGAGCAAGGGCGACATGCGAAGGGCATTGAACGTGCTTCAGGCTTGTCATGCATCAAGTGAGTTTCATTACACGCAGAGGTTGTATTTGCTGTCCCAAGCTAACTATTGAGCGTGAAGGCACACCATTGAGACTAAAGAACGAACCCAAGCCGCCGGAAAGCGAGATCAAGCGCGAGACAATTACGACTGAAACGATTTACAACTGCATTGCGGCGCCTCAGCCTGATGCCATCAAGGAGATTATGGAGACGCTCTTGAGCACGCCGGACGTGACGAGCTGTCTGAATACGATTAATGCGCTGAAGACAACGCAGGGCCTAGCGCTGGCAGATATTATCACAGCGCTGATGGAGCAGCTGACGAAGCTCGAGGTGAGCGCAGAGGTTATGATTACCTGGCTGGAAGGCCTGGCGGAGATTGAGCACAGAGTTGCTGGAGGAGGCAGCGAGATGGTCCAGACAGGAGCGGTGGTGGGAGTTGTGCGAGGAGGGGTAGAATTGATGAGCAAGTGAGCAAAGCAACGCCGTTTGAAAAGCAAGTTGACGCCGTGTCTGTAAATGAATACAGGCAAACGAGTAAGAGACTATACGAGGGACAAGCAATTGAGTCACTCGCATTGCAGTTAACAATTCGTCATGATTAATTGATTGATAATGATAACAACATCAAAAGACTAATTACTCCGTTATTCCGCATCGTATCATTGTCATTATCTGGGGCAATATTCCGGGCCATATTCTCGCGAAACGGACAGAGCGAGTTTTAGTTGCGGGTGGCGCAGAAGAAGCCTCAAGCAGTTAAACAGCCCAGCCACTCACGACTCGCTGAAAGTCCCTGAAGGTCCCTGAAGATTCCCCATCCGGCGGGATTTAGACTTCACGTTACGTCAGAAACGCGCGCGGGTATTGGCAATCACGGCGCAACTCTTTTCTTTCCTTTGCTCTTTCTTTCTTGGAACAGCAAGTGCCAAGTCTTCTTGATTAAGGCAAAAGATAAAAGATAACGAAACAAACTTCTTTTCTCTTCTGCAACTGCAACTCGTCTCTCTTTTGTCAGCTTCATCGGCGATTCCAAATTGCATCCCCGGCAAATTCCGCTTTTGTTTCTGTTTGTTTGTTTCTCCCGCCACCCCCAGCAATGGGGCTCTGCCGGTCTGGGGCTCTGCTTATCGGCAACTAATGCCCGGGGCGCTGTTGTTGCCCGGGGCCAGCGCCGCAATCCATCCAAATCCACCCACGGAGTAACAGTTCGCTTTTCTAGCTGGTCTTCGCGAATATCGTTCGTCGCTCGCCATCGCTATTCTCTTTTCTTCGACCCATATCAGTGCCTCTGCCGTGCTCTACCTGCATCTGCCGCTGTAGCCGCCCGCAGCAGCCGGCGTCTTAGCTGTGGTGACAACAGAGCAACACATATAATAAGACACCGGAACTGGGGCGCTTCTCGATGTCCATGTCCGCCTCCCCAAGAGAAGTGGCCATGCTTTCTGCGAGCCCGAGCGAGGCGCCCAGCACCGCCGGGCTTCCCTTGCATTCGGGAGCCGACGTCCACAAGATCCCGCAGATCCTGCCGCGAGAGCGCGTCTTTCCCATCCAGATTGGCGGCGAGCTGTTCAAGCTGTCCGGCGCATCTCTATCCTCTGATGGTTCGTCGCGTGCTGTGGCTTGCTTTGGCGAGACCAACCCCTGATCTCGGTACCCTTGTTTGCTAACTTTCCTTTTCTTCTTCTTCTGATTGATATAGCGCCGTCTTATTTCTCGCAATACTTTCTCTGCCAGATCAAAGTGGCTGAGAGCAAAGGCGAAGACCCCTCCTCCACGATCCGGACGCTGTACATCGATCGCGATCCCAAGACATTTAGAGACATTGCGCTGCACCTACAAGGATATCATGTGAAGCCGCGGGACGGGACGCACTTTGTGCGCTTATTTGCGGACGCCCAATTCTATAATCGTATGCTTCTCTTGTGAGCCCAATGGCTCCCAATTGCCTTACAGGATACCCAAGGCACTAACCACCTCTGTCACGTATAGTTCCTAAGCTCATTTCTCAGCTTAACGAGGAGAGCATCTTCATGTCCATCGGCCATCGGGAATTCCAGATTCCTCGCGACGTCCTCAACGATCCTGCTAATTCCCCAAACTACTTCTCCCTCGGCTTCGCTCTCTTCTTCTCCCAGCCAAACGACCTCTTCCCTGGCCTCGATCGCGAGGGGCTGATACGCCCGCCCTCTATACTTCCTCCTTCGGTTCCCAACCGCAACGCCGACACCTTTGCCGAGCTGCTACGCTTGTTGCGTGGGTATCCGGTCAGCATTCGCGACGAGAATCATCGACAAGAGCTCCTTCGCGACGCTCGATACTTTCACTTTAAAGGCATCGAACAGCAGCTTGTTCCGCACTCCATCAGCTATAACCCTTTGCGCCAAATCGAAGAGATTGCCTTGCGGCTGGAGAATGTGCAAAAGAGTGGCGTTAGCATCTCAACTGAAGAGTCCGACGGGGCCTCGCGCTCCTCCGTCAGGCATGTCAAGTATGCACGCCCATATGTCGACAATAAGCCGGCAGAGTTGGTATTGGAGATTGGAGGAACCACGGCCAAATTCGTCTTCTCAGCAGAAGGGGTGAGAGCCGAGTTCTTTGGCGGCACAAAGGCTAGGGTGGCGAGAATGTTAGAGGTGGTTGCGACAAAGCTCAATCTGCCTCCGACCACGCAGCCACTGGGCCTCCTCATGGCGTCAGGGGGTGCCAGTTCGCAACCAGCCACGCCAGGCAACACTCCTCTCAGTGAGGATCTCGTACGGGTCGTCTTTGAAGCAGAGTCGTCAATCATCCTTAATGGTGAAGACTATGAGGCAGATCTGAGCAACTACGAAGCCGAAGATGCCACTCCTGCTATTACCCCTGATACTGAGACTCCTGTGAATCCCAGAAAGCGCCGGAGGACGGGCGAGAGCATCGATATTGGCCTTCCTCACGAGGGCCAAGAATGGGCTGTTAAGACCGGACAGTTTAGGCTACGCATTCAGGAGAGCAAGAGCGGCAAAAGCGCTGTCGAGTGCGTTTTCGTGGCCGTGAAGATTGATGCTGTGAGCTCGGAAAGGGGTAGGAATAAGACGAGAAAATTCCTTAGCGACTGATTTTGAATAACTGGAGAGGAGAAAAAAATGGAGGTATTTTTGTATATAACATGTAATGAGCAAAGGGTAAGAGAAGGGAGTTTATTGAATTGGCTTGCTTGGGGGAACGAGGCGATACCAAATATTCGGAGGTAATTGTACATCTCTCTGCCTTGTCCTTATTAAGAATTATTTTGAGCTTGATGCCATTGTGTTGATGTGAGCGTAAGATAAGATACGTTGACTTGGACTACATATATTCTCTTCTGTTTTTGAACAAATGAAATATTCCCGTGAGATATCAAGCAAATGGTCGCTTTTCAGGCACCATGGTGGATTTGGGCTTTTTCTAAAACTAAAGAAGCGGCACAAATGCAAAAATCATAAACACCTAGCAATTATGCAATGCAATTGGGGATCAATTTCAAAATATCAAACACCAGGAGCAAAAGTAGCCAAAGACCAAAAGGAAACAAAGTAAAAACAACAAGAAAAGCAAACACCCTCATACCAATTTTGTTGACTTCAAAGAGAACCTATCAAGGACCTTTGGAGAGTAAAACACAAGAAAAGAAACGCCAACACAAGCATGACATCCAAAAAACGCCGCCTTCGCCAGCGCTCCAAATTTGCCCTCCCCTGAATCCCTTTCCGTGTTGGGCATTGCGCGATGATGAGAGAAAGGAAAAAGAACATAGAGAAAGAATGACTGGAAGAAGGAGAAGAAGAAGAAAAGGGGGGGGGGATTGCCCCCAAAAAGAAGAGGAAGAAAAAAACAAGAAATATGTAAAGAGGATGAACAAGGTGATCCATCTCCTCATATCAATATAAATATCCCAGCCAACCGAACCCAGCCCAGCCCAAACGTCGCCGCTTATACCACTCTTTATGTACCCTCCGTTGCATAAATTCAAAGCATAGGGGAAAATGAAAATTGAAAGAAGAAGCAAAAAAAGAAAAAAAGACACCTCATGCGTTCCTGGGCCTGGACCTGGATCTGCTTCCAACCGTGCCTATTGGGTTGCTTACGTTCCGCCGGCCCATGCCGGATGTTGGCCGGCTTTGTGGTGTAGCTGCGCCCCTAGTTGTGCTCCTGGCGCGTCCTCTTCTCTCGCGGATCTTGGCTAGAGCTTCTTCGCGCGTCATGGTCGGTATCATTGCCGGATCGCTCGTGTCAAAGCTCGCACTGCTGCTGTTGGACGCAGTTCGCATGCCCCGGGTGAAAGATAACGAGCTAGAGGACCGCTCGTCTCGAACTGGGACGGTTGTGGTAGTTACTGAGTAGGTACTCTTGGAAGTAGATCGGGAGTCGGGGGCTGGGCGTTTCCGGGGGAGAGAAAACTGTTCTGGCTGAGGCTCTGGTGCTGGTGCCAGCTTCAAGCCCCCTTCCTCCTCCTCCTGATATCGCATTATCCTCTCCTGAGCGGTTTCGTTGTCACGGACCGTCGGGATGCTATGAAAGTTCGGAAGAGAGTCAGCTAGGGCGTCAATTCGCGGAGCATTGATGAGCGACATGAGCGATGATCTCCCGTGGGATAAATCATAGGCTGATGGCTCGGTAGACGGTGTTCTCGCAAACGTACGTTGATGTGCTTCTGTTTTTTCTTTGAGAGGAGATGGCTCTGGCTCAACCTCCTCGTGAGCCTCAATGACAATCTCTGCCTTGCGCTGTGCCTCCAGCTCAATGGCCTCTTGTTCAGATACTGTGCGGAAGACGCCCTCCTTAGGGTAAAAGACAGTGCTTCGCCTGGCACCCTTCCTCACCTTTCCCAGCTTCAACTCCTGCTGCTGCTGGGCGGGTGACGGAAGAGGCTGAGTAGACACATCCTTCTTCTCCTCAATGGAAGCCTCCACAGAAAGTCTCGTCTTTTCAGGGGTCGCTCGGGGAAGCTGCTGCATCATGCTCGTCCGACGTTTAGACTTGGAGCATGGACAACAATGCATTTGGCACTCGGCTTGCATGAACTCAATCATCTCCTGAGCCCGATCAGCTCTCTGCCTTTCCCATTGCAATTGCTCAGTAAGCTGCTCGATTTCCAGCTCGCTAGCAGCTGACGAGACGATCTCCATTGTTGAAAGAGAAACACGGGGATCCCTGCACCTGATAGTCGATGCGATCCTTCGCTTCCTGGGGGGTGACGCAAACTCGTCATCTGCTTCCTCGGCTGGCAGGGGAATACGACCCTCGGCAGCGAGACGTGCAACCTCTTCGTTCTTGGCCGCCACCTTGTAGGCATCACGCTCCTGTTCGACCAACTTAAGGCGGGCGAATGCTTGTTCGAGCTGGTCCTGCAGGTTGCTAGCCTGGTATTTCGCCTCAAACGTTTCTTGCTCCCGGGTGCGGCTCTTCTCCCTTTCGGTTTGTAGTGATTCCTCCATTAGCTTGGTCATGGACTGCGCGGCTTTGACCTCCTCATGGAGCTGACTGATGGTGGACTGAGCCTTGAGGTTTTGCTCCTCCCGAGCGAGGCTCCGGTCCCTTTCCTTTTGTAGTGATTCTTCGACTAGCTTGGTCATAGCCTGTGCTGATTTGAGGTCCTCCTGGAGCTGGCTAATGGTGGCTTGAGCCTTGATGTTTTGCTCCTCTCGAACATGGTTCCTATCCTTTTCGTGTTGTAGAGTCTCCTCGATCAATTGCGTTGATGCCCGGGTGGATTTGAGGTCTTCCTGAAGCTTGACAATGGTCGATTGCGCCTTGAAGTTTTCCTTCCGCGCGCGTCGAATTTCTTTTTCCCACAGAGCCTGGGTGTGTGCGTGTGTCTCCTTTGCGCGTCCATAGTTTTCCTTTTCGTCGAAAAAAAGGCTCACATTAGCCGGCCATACTGACGAGAAAGAATAAAGTGTGCCACGCTGGGGGGTTAGGTGATGGAAGCAAAGGGCTCTGCCAGCTTACCATGACGGTTTCCAATCTCTCGCCCACTCTCCTCTCCCGCTCCTTGCCCTCCTCAATCTCCCGCCGCAAGGCTCCGGCTTCGTCCTTGATGCGCCTCATCTCGGCCTCGGCCTCTTCGCGACCCAGCATGGCCCGCTTCAGCGCCGCATCGGCCGACTTGCGCTCCTGCTGCCTCGCCTGCATGCTCATGTTGTTGAACTGGCTGATCTTGTCGTGCACCGTACTGTCGCGGCTCGCGAGGTTATCCGATGATGCTCCCTGAGCTCGCAATGTGCCAAAGAGATTCTCGCGGCGCTGGTTCACGCGATCGGGTGATGCCATCTGGAGGGGTCCACCAGCGGTCGCGGGGGAGTCGGGAAGACTCGTCAGCTCTTCCATTTGCTGCAGCGTGAGTTGTTGTGAACGGCTAGGGTCTTGTCTCGCGTCTGATTCGCGGCCGGTATCTCGTCGTGGCGATTCCCTCGAGGGGATCCGTACTCGTATGTATCGCGGAATATTTTCTCTTGTAGTTGCAGATGAAGCCTTACTCCGTACTGGGCAGGGTTATGCAGTTGTGGGCTTGTTAATAATACAACAATAAGGTGCTAATGCTGTTTACCAATTTCCACCACAAAGATTGTGCCAAGTGGGCTCTTGTTGCTTTCAGTTGCTGTGGTGACGCCCCATATTAGCGATGCCCAACCCTTATTAGGACTAGATGCCACGAGTACCCACTGCTCAAGCAAGACAACGCCTGGGGGTGGGCTGTACCGAGGTATTCAGCCGACATTTAGCCCTCATGACTTGCATCTGCCAACGTCTAACATTTGAAGAACCGCAGCTGCAAACCTGGCGTGTCCGCAGCAGAGCCAATCAGACCACCCGGGCATCAGCAACGGGAGCTTGTAAGTCCCGATGCGGGTATGCAGCTGTAAGCTTATGGCCACGATTTGAACTTGACCTTGTCAATTTCAATCCCATTCTCCAAAATCCAATCGCTGCCATAAAAGAGCTTCATCAACGAGACTCACAGCTCAGCAGCCATGGCGGACTCGGAACTGCGCCAGCGGAAACAGCCGGACGCTGCAGAGGCTACCAGCCCAGCAAAGAAAAAGTCGAGCAAGTCAAAGGTCGAGGATGAAGATGCCTACTCCCCGTGGCTGGATGTCTTGCGCGTCATTAGCTTCCTGTTCGTGGCTTCGTGTGCGCTCAGCTACTGGATCAGCAATGGCGAGAGCTTCTTCTGGGGCATGAGGAACAAGCCCAACTACCTGAGGGTAGATTGGTGGAAAGCCCAATGGGTTCGTTCATCCCCGCCTGACAAGCAAACAAAGAAGCCGAAAAAAGATGAATTGCTAACCATCCGACAGCAAGGTCCCATCTACCTGACCCCCGAGCAGCTCGCCGCCTACGACGGCAAAGACCCTTCCAAGCCCGTCTACGTCGCCATCAACGGCACCATCTTCGACGTCTCCCTCGGGCGCCACATCTACGGCCCCGGAGGCTCCTACAACTACTTTGCAGGCTGCGATGCCGCCCGAGCCTTTGTCACAGGGTGCTTTGCCGAGGATCGCACGCCCGACATGCGAGGCGTAGAGGACATGTTCCTGCCGCTGGACGATCCTGAGACGGACGCCCAGTGGACCACGGCCGAGATGAAGGAGATGAAGGAGATGGAGCTGATTAGGGCACAGCGTCAGGTGCATGATGCGCTGAAGCACTGGGTCAACTTTTTTGGAAACAGTAAAAAGTACCACAAGGTGGGCTACGTCAAGCGGGAGAAGAATTGGCTGGAGAAGCAGCCCAGGAGGGAGCTTTGTGCGCCGGCTCAGCAGGGCAGGTCGAAAAGAAAGCCAAGACATTCCAAGGAAGAGAAGTAGATGTATATGAAAGAGAGGGGGGAGAGAACAGCATGCATATGATCAATGACTCCAAAAGATTCATCCTCGTCTACGTCTAGATACTCACTTTGCCTGCTTGAACAAGGCAATTGCCAGTGCAGTTTCTTTAGCAGAATCAAGAACAATTCATCACACGTCACAAGGCATCATATGAACAAATTATGATTAGAAAACAACTCCTTCATTTTAAATAAGGTATCCAGATACATTTACACACATGGTCCCTAGCATGTGCTCTAACCCAGGACTCTTGCTGTCCTTTCCCCTTTCATAAAAACCTAAGGGAACAGATTACTTCCATCCCGCTTCAGAAAAAAGAAAATAGAAAAACCCTTGCTTGCAAGGAAGATGCATATATGAATAAAACCCCCCAAAATATGATATTACAGATCGTCGTCCTTTTTTTACCCGATCAACACCACGTTCATGTCGTCACGTCACTCCGTTTATAGCAAAGCAAAGGCAGCAGCCAGAGCCAGCAGCAGGCTGCTGGAAACGCCGACAGATGAGGCAGCGCTCTTGGGGATGCCAGTGTCTGTGGCGCCACCGGGAAGAACACCAGTGCCAGAGGGTGAAGAGGCACCGGTTGTGACGGAAGGAGGAGGAGCAACGACATCGGTAGGAGCAGAAGCAGGGGGAGCGGCAGGAGCAGAGCCAGCATCGGTAGGAGCAGCAGCAGGAGGAGCGCTAGCATCGCTACCTGATCCAGAGCCAGAGCTGGGGCTGGGGCTACCGTAGCTGGGAGGAGAGCCGGCAGGGGCACCAGAGCCGGAACCAGAGCCACCCTGAGCAGTAGAAGCAGCGGTTCTGTAGTTGGTAAGAGAACGGGTAGAGTTGGCAGAGGTGCTACAAGTTGAACAATGTTAGTATTGCGCTTGATTTATTGTCATCGGCATCCTGGACACTCACTTCTCATTGATAACCATGGACATTCCGCTGGAGCAGTGCTTGGCCTGGCTGCAGAAAATCCAGATGGGCTTGGTGTCGTTGATCATGACGGTGAAGACGGGGATCTCCTTCTTGGAGGCGCCGGCAGCAACTGGCATGAAGCTGGACCAGATGCCAGTAACGGAGCTGTTGACCTGGGAGATGGGAGTGCAGGGGTGGTCAAAGTCGGACTGGGTGACAGTGTGGTTGCCAGCCCAGAACTGGAACTGAACCATGGATCCGACAGCAGCCTTGATGTTGTCGGGGTAGTACTTGAGAGCAGGCTGACCGGCCATACCAGCCATGGGGTTCTGGCCAACTGAGACGACCTGGACATCGACGGCTAAAGGACAAATGCGTTAACACATCAGCTTAAACAATGGCAAAACCCGGAGTAACTCGACGTACCTTGGGCAATGGCAGCAAAGGCCGCAACGAGGAGGGTAGTGAATTGCATCTTGAATAAAGGTTTTTGAGCTTTGGTTTGTTTTTTTCTGAAGAATAGGCCGGCCTAAAGAGAGAGAGTACCAGACTTCCCAAAATAAAACCTTGAAAAAGAGAGGAAGAGGAAAAAAGAAGCAAGATTAAGTCTTGAATAGGTAAGAGAATGTGAATGAAAACGATAGAACCAGCAAAGGACTAGCCTTTGGAATGTAAATGTAACTGGATAGAAGAGAAGAGAAGAAAAGTAAGGATACAAAAGAAACCCCACGGACAAACAGTAGAACGATGGTTGACAGAAGTTGAAGAAACAACGGAAACATGATGGCTTTTAATCTCCATTCATGTCACTCTCAACGTCCCCATTAGCGTCCTTGCACCTTGCTTGAGGGGGGCATCGTTTACGGGGAACGCAGTCGTCTAGGAGGCGCCTATCACATTTCCTCAAACAACGGGGCGTAGCTCGAGTTGAGGCCGCTCATAGCGTGTATGAGACTGGTTTGGCCATAGACGCTGGTCTCGACTCTCCCAGGTCCAGAAACATGGTAGACTCAGCTCAATCGGGTATTCGAAACGCGGTGCCCCAGATGCTGTACACCACGCATCTCTCCCAATGGCAAGGGTCATGACAGACGAAGTCAAGCTGCTAACCTTGCTTGGCCTGCCGCTAGCACGGACAGCAGTTCTCCTTGCCATGCTGAAGAAACATTTCGACCCTGGTGCCTCGACCGGGACCTGTCTCTCACACTGACTAACCGTCATGGGCGCCGGGCGATGCTGAAGCCGGAATTGCATTGTTGCAGGCAGGCCGCGCCACACCTAATTTTGAGGGGCCGGGGCCGGGGTCTGATGTTGAAGCTGCTTCAAGTCGAGCGTCTCCGACACACGCGAGACGTGGTCGGTTTCAGCGCAGGCAAACGCAGTGACCGCATGGCCTCGACGCAAATTTAGTCCTGATGGGCTTGATGTTTCCAATTGCGTCCAGGCAGTTCTTTTTTGACAACGTGCCTGGGATTTTGAAGGCTCAATGGCGTCAAAGTGCCGTTGTCAATTGGGCAGACGCAGAGTCGTAGACGCCACAAGCCCCCCTGTCGTATATTTGCAGAATGCCGGACTATTAATACGTTAGTGAAACGCTCTAGTAACCGACAGCCATGCGCACGCCCTGAGCCGCAATAACGGACAAGTCATGATCCGCCTTCTGAGAAACGACCAAGGCCAAAGGCGGCAATTGTTTTCTCGCTTCGAGTCGGAACGTCGCCGTGAAATTTATCAGCACCAAGATGAATAATGCAAAAGATAAGGGTCCGGTAGATTTAAATGATGCTATTTCGTGTCGATTGCTCTTTTATGCGTAGAAAATCCGTGTCAGAGACGGATCGATTAAACTTCTAGTTGGCGATGAGTTTTTCTCAATGATCATCAAGGAAAAGATGAGAAGCAGCTCTTTGTACAACCAAATTCCTCGAAATAAATCGCAGACACTCTCAGCCAGGTGTAATAGTAAATCTGACCAATAAACTTTCATCCCTTTCCCACCATGGTCATGGATGATTTTGCATTGTGAATCTAGCATCGCATCGGAAACAATGCGTTTCATGCACGCCGTCTCTCGCGTGGTTCTCGAGGGGAGCTGGAGGCATCCGGCCGGCGTTGTTTTGGCCTTCCGTGCAATATGAAACTGTTGCGGAGACATTCTTCAGTTGAGATTTGTGTCACTGTGAGGAGATAATGGCGAATCTACACACCCGCGAAGGCTTTCGATAGCTCATGGGATGGCCGAAAGCAGGGGCCCGGGACGCGCATCATCTCCCAACCAGATCAACCGGACGATGTTGTAGCAAATGGTTAGTCCCTCACGGGCCAGATACAAGTAATGGCAGCTGGACGTGACATATTAAAGTCCTGTGGCCCCTAAAGATCCAACAGCAGCTGAGGTGTGACCTTTTCCAGGTCTTCGACCTTTACGAGGAAACCGTTAACATCATCTGAGCAACTCAGGAAAAGACAACACGAATTCCATGCTACCAGTAATCTTACCTCTAGAAACCCGCCTGGCTTCTCGACAGCTGTTCTTGCGATCGCCTCTCGAACGAAGATATCAACGTACTTGCCCACCGCCGTGTTGGCATCCCTCGACAATCTCGTAGCCTCCTTGGCGAAATACTCGTGGAGAATCCGGGTCAATAGGGCTTTAGGGATTGACTTTTCTGGCTCTGCTTGCTCTTCCCCTATGTTTATTGTTTGGTTCGCCGCTGGGGCCTGGTCATCTGAAGACTCGAACGGGTTACTAGACTCCGAGGCATCGCGAGCAGGCGGTTGAGCTTTGGTTGCCTTGGCTGGCCGGCCGCGACCAGCTCCGGTGGAAGATTGTTTAGGTGGCATTGGAGCCTTTTGCGATCAGTTCGATTGCTCTCCGGCGTCTGTATACACAGCTAGACAAGGGCTATGTTTGGACAGCAGTGACTGAAGTAAATTGCGCGCTGTGTTGAAATGTTCACGATGATACGCAATACATGTAGGTGGTTTATAGGCAGGTACTTGGAGCTTGGGCTTGCTGCCTTCCCAATCGCAAGCGCGATACGTTTTCTTAGTCAGCAACGCACACGACAACCGCAAGGCTGAGAACAATCGCGAAGGAAAAAAATGCAATTTTGAGGCACGGTACAGATTGCACTTGGAGTATCAAATCAGAGCGTTGTTGTTTAAATCTCTAAATCAAGGGAACTTGCATTGGTGTATAATTACAGCGACCTAGAAAGCACGGCAAGAGCCAAAACGACTAATACGCCGTGCCCATGCCAGTCTAACCCGCAAATAGCAACTGTTACACAGGTCGGGATATCTGGCCCAACTTCCCTCAATACCTTCCATTCCGGTCTCCTTTTTGATCAACCAGTGGACGCCGCATTACACCCACCTGGCCAATTAACCCCATCTCCGCGTTGAGACGCCCGGAGAATGTCTATACAGAACGTAGAAAAAGCAATTTAACCAGAGCCACCGGAGAAGGCCTTTCCGAAGAGAAGGATCTGGAGCTGATCGTAGATGGACAGGACACCAGCACCGGCAACACCACGGAGAATGTTGGCACCAGCACCGTTGAAGAGAGACTTGACACCGTTCTTGGCAATGATCTGGCGGGCGGCATCGAAGGAGTTCTTGTACTTGACGGCCTCACCAGAAGTCATCATCATTCGTCGTCGGATAGTGTCAAGAGGGTAAGCAGCGATACCGGCACCAGTGGTGACGCACCAACCGAGAGCGAAAGAGGCAAGGAAGTTGTTGGCGAGGGAACCGACCAGGAGAACAGGCTTGATGGAGTCGTACATGCCGAAGTAGAGACCACGGTAGACGATGATACCAGCGACGGAGGGCATGAAACCACGGTACAGACCGGCAATACCGTCAGAGGCGAGGGTCTTGCGGTAGACGTCAACAAGACCGTTGAACTGGCGCTCACCACCCTTCTTGGCGGACTTGGCATCGTTGGCAAGACGGGTACGGGCATAATCCAGGGAGTAGACGAAAAGCATAGAAGTGGCACCAGCAGCCTGGTAGAGTATCAGTATCAAGCATGTGAAGATGAGGGGTTATTACCGCAAGGTAAAGAAGAAAAACTTACACCACCGGAGGCCAGGTTACCGAGCATCCACATGCCGTAGCCATCACGCTCCTTCTTGAAACCGAACATCTTCTTGAACTTGTCACGGAAAGCAAAGTTCAGGGCCTGGGTAGGGAAGTATCGGATAACGTTGGCAGTGTTACCACGCCACAGGGACATGACACCCTCGTCGGCGGCGGTACGCTTGAAGCAGTCACCAATACCGGCGTAGCGGCGGTCGAGACGGCCGTTCTTGATCATCTCATCCTGTTGTCCTAATTAGAAAAGAGTTTTCACAGTTGTAGATCCCCGAGGGGAGACAAACCTGGTTCTGGATGAGGAGCTTGACACGCTCAATGGGGGCGGCAGCAGTCTTGGAGACAGCGGCGGAGACACCACCCACTATTGAAGTTTGTTAGTTTGAGTTCTTGATATTTGACGCGAGCCGCCGTCTATGTGTTATGCTTATCCCGCATAAGCATCGAATAGTGACTTACTGAGGAAGTCCGCCATGAAGGGCTGAGAGAAACATTGTTAGCGGTCAGGTTTCACATGTGCAAACGCGATGCAAAAAAATTTCTCATCTAGGCGCACGATGAAGATTCTTCACGACTGAGAGCGAGGCCCTGGCAGACATCATTACACAGCATCTCAATGTCATCTAGACGGTTCAATTGATGATACTGGCAAAATATCTCTCGGAGTCGTTTCGGAATCCTCCCGTGGCGTACCCAATGGAGGGGGACGAGGCGGGCAGATAAGGCAGGCAGAATCAACTTACCGGCATGCCCAGGACCTTTTGAGGCTTCTCAGACATTTTGACCGATGTGCAAACGCTTTCCCGGGAAAAAAGAAAGGATTGAGGGGAGATGGAGATGAAAGGAGGAAGAGGAGGACAACGGGGGGAGTCGAGCGAAATAAATTCTGCACCGACGGGCGAATGGCTTTGGGGGGGGAGGGAAAAAAAAATTGCGGCGGGTCTCGAAGGGGACACTTTTTCAGAGCGACTCTTTCCGGCCGCACTAGCGCTGCAGGCTTGGGCCGCGCTGCTTTGCCTTCCACGGCAACAGAGCGCTACAGCGCGTGGCAGCCTCAGGCAGAGCGCCTTTTAAGGGCCGTGCCAGCGGCCTAAAGGCGCCGGAGCAGCGACCTTCAGGCGCCAGGAGATGCGCGCCAGGTTTTTTCGTTTTTTTTTTTTTTTTTTTTTGCCTTGCACTTTGTTTGGGCTCTGCACTGTGCTGTACCACCCACGGCCACAACGCCTTGATGTCACCCTGGGTGCAAACAACAACTTGCACCCGGTCCGCCCCGATCTTGCTCCCGCCGAGGCCACCCGCCAGTGCGAAATTCCCAACCTGCCTATTCCTGGCGTCTCCGAGACACCCAGAGAACAAAGTACTCCGTATAGAAGAATGTTGGACACGCACTTTGCGCTCTTCATGTCCACACAGCTCGTCACCGCTTCAGCCATGGCCCCCCAGATTTGTGCATGGAAGATACATATGGAGGCCTATCAGTGAAGCGTGCTCCGTAACATGCAAGTCCAGCTGGCAGCTGAGAGACGACAAATATAGCTCGTCATTTAGCCGCGTAGTCTTGGGGCCTTGCAGCCATCATATGGCACCAATGTCTAGTTCACGGGACTTGAGGTCAGCCCCTTACTGTCATGACTCCAGATCCCAAACACTGTTGGAGCGAGAACAGCTTGAGGCTTAGCGGACACCCCGGCTTCCGTGGGAATGCACATACAGCGAACGATAAGGAGTGCAACCATCCCGAAGTCGCATTGTCCATCTCGCCCAGGCATTGCCACACCGTTGCCGCCGATCTGACCGGCCGTGAGAAGCCATCCCGCCTACTCCGGCTCCACCGGTGCAAGGGAGGCCGAGGTCTCCAGCCTTACAATGTTACAGGTGGACACTGTCGGTCTTGGTTCAGAGCCGGCCAGTATTTGCCTCAAGACTCGTATCAGGAGCACGGGCGAAGAAATCTATCTCTCCTAAAAACTCTAATCGGGTCTATCGCTGTTAGGGGTAAAGGCTGTGCTGTACCTGTCGCACTAAGAGGAAAATAAGACAAGAACAGGAAGGGAAAAAGAAAACCTGGAGAAAAAGAAAAAGAAACACAGCCGCATATCTCCCCTGTTCCATGAGACTCGTGCCTGAATTCCACATTCGTTCTCCAGCAGACGTACAGTAGCCGCGTATTACAAGTCAAGTGTCCCCTTTCCCGAGCGGCCTGGCATTATTCTGCCTCAGGTTGTGGACCTTGATAGCAGTGTCGCCTCAAGCGCGAAATGTTTTCACTCACAAAGCGTTGATTGGTCGAGGACTTGCAGAACTCCGACTCTTCATGAATGCTGCGACGAATAGAAAATCTCAACTTGTAATAATCGGTGAGATAGACAACACACCGTAGTATATAATATGGCTTTGCCCCGGTTCACTTGCACGATACCCGCCATCGCCATCTTCACAGTTTCCATTGGTTGCATCTCACCAAACATTGGAAGGCAAATATGGATGCCTTGATACCTAAGAACAGGAGGGCGGAGAAGGGCTAAGGACCGTGGCTGATGACCTGCTCGGCATTATCACAATCTGGTTTGATCTGATTGGGCCACTGTCCAACGCCACACACTCTGGGAATATCACAACATTCTGAGGGAGTTGGCGAGAATAGCTATAGATGCATGGGTCAATCCTATGCCACCAAAATCTTCTCGCGAGCAAGGTTTTGGTTATTTGCAACATGAGAGTAATAATGAAGGAACATGGTCCTCTCTGTATGGACGTTGGTAGGTAATACCTCGGGAGTAAGACGATGACAGAAAGCTAGGGGCTAGAGTGGATAGGCCGCACATTCAGAATTGATGTTGATCTAAATGCAGTAGTAGCAGTTGAACCGATGGCGTATGCTGCATGGCATGGCGCAACATCAACATCGCGATTACGCATGTCATAAAAAAAAGAGAGATAGCATAAGCCCGCCAATGCGATACTAATATTGCGGCAACAAAGCATGAGTCCATCCCATAATCTCATCACAATTATTCGCAGAACGGACATGTGCGTCACACAAAGGTCAAGGAGGGATTCGCGTCGTTTTGGTCATTTTTTGAAGTTCTTCATTCCGTTGCCATTTGCTAAAGCGTTTCCGGTTCCCATGAAATGCTACACCGAGCATGAAAAGCGTCCCAACTAAGGCTTTATATACCTCGTATCATCCTCTTCACTCATGGTCCCATTTTCTTCCTTTCAGACCAACCAGGCGCCAAATCTCAATGCTTTAACTTTCAAACATGGTGGTAAATTTACTCGCCGATGGCACGGGCTGCGCAATTTGTCAGTGTCTCTTGTCATCTTTCAAAGCGCGCACAAGGGGAACGGATTGGTGAGTCGTACTGTAGATCTTCATCTTGCTATGAGTGATGACCGGCTTGATCATGCCCTTCTCCTCGAGGTCGCGGATGCACTGGCGGGCGAGGGAGCCGTTGATCTTCATTCGGTCGACCAGGACGGCGACGGTGACGAGGCGGTAAGACTGGACATCCTTGTAGAGCTTCTCGGAGATGGTCTTGTCGAGCAGGACGGCGTGCTGGGCCTTGTCCTTGACCTTGCCCTTGGACCACTTCTTCTTTTGCTTCTTTGCTCCAGCTGCAGGCGCCTGTGAATTTTAAAAGATCAGCATCTGCATAGCGACACCCATTTCATCATGGTCGGCGGCGGCGGTGATGGTGGCATACCATTTTGTCTGTGATGTGCTTGGCTTGTCGACGGAGGAGTGGTGGAGGAATTGGAATTTTTGGCGACGACTTAGAGTAGCCCTCCCGCTTCAACGGTTTGCCCACTTCCGAATTCACCAGGGCAGCCGAGCCCTAACCGAACGTGGGTGCAGGGTACGTACCTAACTTTTCGCGCCATCTGATTCGCCCGATGCACACACCACCAAAATTTCCCTTCCACGCCGACCAAGCCCACCTTTAACCTCTTGAAAAAATCACATCTCGACAATCCGCAATACTAACCGCAGTCCCGCCCAGCACCGGAATTTTCGACTGCAAATAGCCCAAGATGTCTGACGGTGGTGAAATCGAGATCGAGAACTCTGTCGTTACCGACGCCCTCCCCAAGGATATTGTCAAGGAGGTTGGCAACGTCAAGCTGTTCAACAAGTGGGACTACGATGTCGAGGTCCGCGACATCTCTCTGACGTACGTTCGAAATCGCGAGATTGGAGAAGATTGAATTTTTTTTCGCCAAACATTGGAGGAAGTTCTCTTGTGCTGATGGATTGATCAAATAGCGACTACATTTCCCTGCGAAACCCCGTCTACGTCACCCACTCTGCTGGCCGATATGCCGTCAAGCGATTCCGCAAGGCCAACTGCCCTATCATTGAGCGGTTGACCAACTCGCTCATGATGCACGGCCGCAACAACGGCAAGAAGCTGATGGCTGTCCGCATCGTCGCTCACGCCTTCGAGATCGTACGTATTTGGACGCGACCCTGAGAGAGAGAGATAGGAGGAATACGTCTTTGCCAAAGGCAGACGAAAGACAATTCAAAATTCTTGCTAACACCAATTCCTCACTTCAGATTCACCTCATGACCGACCAGAACCCCATCCAGGTTGCCGTTGACGCCATTGTCAACTGCGGTCCCCGTGAAGACTCTACCCGAATTGGCTCTGCCGGTACCGTCCGTCGTCAGGCCGTCGATGTCTCCCCCCTGAGGAGAGTCAACCAGGCCATTGCCCTGCTCACCACCGGTGCCCGCGAGGCTGCTTTCCGCAACGTCAAGTCCATTGCTGAGTGCTTGGCTGAGGAGCTGATCAACGCCGCCAAGGGCAGCAGCAACTCATACGCTATCAAGAAGAAGGACGAGTTGGAGCGTGTCGCCAAGAGCAACCGATAAAGGTTGTGCGGTTGGTTACCTGGCTGGATGGAGTGTGGCTTTTGGCGCGGATCAGGCATTTTTCAGAATTGCATTTTGCGTTCGGGTCTGGGAACGCGGACATGGATTTATCTCAGGTGGCTCCTAGAGTCTGAATAAAAAGCTGGGCTCAAAAAGGGGCTGTTATGAATCATGCCTTTTGTGTCTCTAATTTACCATATTTTTCTTATTTGTGATTATAAGAGAGAGACCAAAACAAAAGTGCAACATGGAGCGTCAAATAAGGAAAAAAAAAAAGTTATTACTTCGTTACGTGCCAGGCTTCTTTTAATCTTGAACTATACTCTCTGTCTCAATGCCATAGGTGATGTTCTTGATGAAGACCATGTGCGATTCTACTTGTTCCCCTCCACCATTCGGTTGCTGGCCGTGGTGCTCAGATCTGGATATCCTTTTGGCCAATGTCTAGACGCAGAAACATTCCAACGTGGGGAATGCCTTCTTCATACCACCTCCCCATGCCCTCGTCAATTTCAAACCCCCATTTCGCCCATGCCTTGGCAACTTGCTCCTGTGCGTGGACGCAAACGAGACCTCCCCATTGCGGCGCCTGGGCCTCTGTCGACGCTCCTAACTGCTCAAGCCCCAGCTCTCTGATACTGGGGTCAAAGAAGGACGGGTTGGCCTTGATCCAGTCGAGTGCACTCTTGACAAGCTGGCCTGCAAAGCGGTAGCCTCGATAGTCCTTTACAACTGCCAATCTTCCCAGCTTGATGTATGGTTCCTTGCCGTCATGAAATGTCGTCGGCCGATCTTGAACAAACGGCCGGGATGACGGGCCATCGTGGTTGCTGGCATCATCCTCTTCGCCTTTCAAAACTCCGTTCCAGTAATCTCCACCGGGCTTTGGATGAGGATCATGTGGGAAGGGAACCATGCGAACAGTTCCCACAGGAGTGCTTCGAGTAGAACTCTTGCGTGGCCGCACGACGTTTCCTTCCTCATTCCGAATCTCGGGCACCTCTGTCTTGTTGACGCTGACGTAAATGACCCAATGGCAAGATCGTGCATCATCGACATCGAACTCATTTTCCTGTGGAACGCCTTGTTCCTTCACGAAGACTTCCTCGCGAACCTCCATGGCATCGAGGAACGTCCGAGGGATTGTTGAGGGAAGCGTGTCTCGAGGAACGCCAAGCTGGAAGCCATCGAGCTTGCTAGGCTCGAGAAGGCTGACGAAAGGGGTTCCCATGATTGCTTCCTTTCCCGTGGATGACGAGAGGCGGTTTGGTGTTCTTGTTTGGTGGGGCGAAGACTATATATGCGGTATGGGCATTTATTGTGTATAGTAGGCTTTGCAGCTGGTGACACACCGTCTTTGAATAGAGAAGAAAAAAATTATAGAGAGAAAATACAGGTGGCCAAGTCTTTATGAAGTTGCGGGTCTATATAGAGGAAACTTTTCGCCATTCATGGCGTGCGCAATGCACGTGGCCTTTGTATTATTTTGAGTCATACTGCAAGCCGAACATCAAACATCCATTTGTATGAGTGAATGCTGCTGCGAGTGGCAGTCTAGACATTAAGGTTAGAATAGGGCGCATTGCTGCTGCACAGGGCGCAGAGACACCAATGGATGGATGTCCAGTGCCGCTAGCTGCATTAAGACAATGCACCTTTCCATTCTAAAATCTAGATACCTTCTCATAGAATAGTTGCATTCTACCTTTAGTATAAAGTCATTGAAGTTATAAGAGGTCAAAAATCACATTCACAGCTCATTGATCCCATTTCATCTATCATCTTAGGTAGGAATTGATGTGGCAGCCCTTCTCTAACAGAGTTTATGCAGTCAGAAGGATTGATGTGGGTAGCACCAAATGTGGGTGTGACTCCGTACAGAATGCTACAGTGCACGGCATCTGTATTAATGATGCTCGATATTGTATGAACAAGCACATCCGGTTGATCTGAATTGGATTTAGCATCAAACTCTCACTGATTTCATAAACATTAAACATTTGTGAACTCGGGGTTGTCTATCAGGAAGCAAGTCATAGATGCTGGTATTGGCTGCCCACCTTTTACATAGCCCAATACTCAGTTGGAAGACAGCATGTCAGAGCAACTTGATGGAATATGGGATATAAGTACAGAGCTTCTATATTCCGTTGAGGCATATCCTGATGAATAATTTTCCAATCTAGTTCATAGACAACAGTGATTACAACGTGATGGATTGATGCCCATGTTTGGTTCAATCTACCAGTAGTATCGTCGCCATTAGATTCCCCAAGCCTAAGCATCAAATGCTATTCGCCCCCAATACAGGTATTAGGTATGCATCAATATCTACTAAATCTCTTTGACAATCTATTCTTGTCTGACTATTCTATCGGTACTGACGCTATTTACAGTATAATTGGGCATTTTTTGGCTTGATTCACGAGCCAGGCTCTTCTACTGTGCTTTGAGATCAATGTTGACTACTATCCATATGGCCTGCAAAAAAGTATGCAGGCATATATAGAAAAAGCCTTCATAAGGTACGCAGGTGGGCAGGACCTTTGAGACACATAAACAACCTCAAAGTATCAATGACACCTCTTATGACTAGAAATCAATGTCCAATGCATTCACAGACTTAGACTCGTCTACCAAGGCATTGTTATTGTTAGAGTCTCGGGTAGCATGGCTACCTACCAAATATGAAACAAGAAACATTTCTCAGCAGACGGTCTGAGCACACCCGGCTCGATGAATTACACGTACTCCGTACTGTATGTACCTGTACTCCGTAATGGCGCATTGTACATAATCGATAAGCGACGGGTTTGATTGCCAACATGGGTCAGGGGTAACAGATCAAGAGATCTACGGAGCACGGAGTGGCCTCGAGTATTACGGGTACAGAAGGGGAGACTCGAATTCCCGGCAAGGTGGCTCGATGGAGATGAAACCCCCAAAATGCCCAGGAGATCGGCCTGATGGATGAGAACAATTGAAGTTGGCAGATGGGTATGATACGGGCACTAACAACCACGTGTGATGGGCGTCAAAGCTCCGTGATGGCTTGTACCTGATTGTTTTACCAGGGGAAGCTGTTCAAATTCATGTCCTAGGTATGAGCCATAAGCAGTATATGTACCTACATGTACTCGCAGGCATGTTACAGTGGTCGGCGGAAGCAATTATCAAATAGATATACTTACATGGATCCATCGAGAGCGAGACAGAGAGATTAAGCCCATTGATGCCGTTGTGACATCGCCTCCTGCGTCGTGCAGCGCCGGCGTGTGATGGCGAGACACTTTGCCTAAAAATACAGGGCACTGCCTATTTGGTCCGACTCGTCGCACAGGCCACCTCATTGCACCGCTTTGGGACAGGAGGCGACAAGCGGTTCGCTCGAAGTTGGGCTGCAGCAGTGCGTTCATCGTGGTGAGTGGTTACATGCGCGTCCTGTCCAGGTGGATGAAGCAGGTACAAAACCGTCCCCTGGCAGCTAACCCCTGCCGGCGGCCTTCAGAGGGTTCGACTCCCTCTCCACTGGCCACGACCCCGTACAAGCTCCCCCCGTACAGGGAGCCCACCGCTGATTCCTAGCGGCCATTTAGCGGGGCTGCAGCACTAAAACGCCCGACGGTTGGTACCGGGTATTATAGCGTGCGGCCTGTTGAGGAGAGACTTGATGCTGCTGATTTCAGAGACACGATATCGCGGGCCAGAAATTTCCCCTCGCTGCATCTGTCATATAATTTTTTTTTTCTTGTTTGAGATTTTGTGTCACAGTTTCTTTTTTTGGGCGAGCCTTGGGAAGCACCGTGCATCTTGGCATTGCAATAGACAACTCGGCATGTTGATCAGCTTTGGGCGGATGCTTTAATTGCGCTATCGGATCGCTATCTCT